TTAACCCGTCTCTGGACAGCTCATGCGAGCTTTAAGACTTCTTGTTTAATACTTGCTCCCTGGGAGGGCAGTAATCCCCTTTCCTTCCACAGGGCTCCATGAACAAGTACCACAATAAAGGCATACTTTGAATTAGTTCGAATAGCCACTTTCTTTCCTTCACTCAGTTCTAATGCTCTCAATGAAGGCCATCAGTTCTGCCTTTGGAGCTGCAGTAGCACAAGGTAAAGAATTTGCTTCTGTAACAGAATTCCCAGTAGGCACCACATATCCTGCATATCAAATTCCATCCTCCACAAAACTTCTGCCACCCATGTATGATTCCCAGTCAGGATCACCCAGCAGTCTATCCTTTAAGTCTTCTTGACTGGAATAGACATGTTCAGTGGTCACCAAACAGCCACGTTCTAACTGTCCTTCTTGCGCGGAGTTCAGAAAGCCCACAGGGTTACTCAAGTTAGTTGTTTTCAAAATGACATCATCTTGTTCTGTCACAATCACTTGGTATTTCATCGTGCTGATAGGGGATAGCCAGTGAGCCCCCTTTTGTTCTAAACCAGTAATTACCACGTGTGGTACATACACTGTCACTGCCATCCCCAAAGTTAATTTCCAGCTTCTTGTTTTAGCATCACTGTAGCAGCAACTGCTTGGAGACAAGCAGGCCATCCTTTGCCCACAGTGCTACAGTGCCTCGTTGTTTGGAGGACTAACTACTCAACCGGCCTTTTCCAGCTTCCTATTTTCTGAGTCAGCACCACGGGTGCAAGATGTTGTCTTTCACGAACACGTAACTGAAAATCTTTGGTTAGGTCTGGACGTCCCAGTGCTGGTGCAGTCACTAAAGCCTGTTATTAAGTACAGAAAGGCCTTTTGCTTTTCTGGGCAGCACACAAAACCTTTTGGGCTTCATAAGGCTGCTTTGCTATCAGACAGTAAGTAATACATTATCCAGAGGCGACACCATCCGGCCATTCACAAAAATGCTTGTAATTCACGGACATTTCTAGGTTTGGGAATGCTGCAGATCGCCTCTTTAAGGTCTCGTCCCAGTTGTCGCTGTCCGTTTGAAATCTCAAACCCCAATACATTGCAGTTTGGCTTGCTGCCTGAGCCTTGTTTCTAGACGCTTCGTATCCATTTAGTCCAAGAAAGTTTAAAGGGTCTATTGTTACCTTGATACAAGTCGGTCCCTCTTCTGCAGCAATCAAGATGTCATCCACATACTGTAGAAGCAGATGTCCAAGTTTAGGTTTTGTATCACTTTGCTTCTACCGTTCCAGCTCTTTTGCCAATGGTTACTGAAGATGGTCGGACTATTCCTGAACCCTGATGGCAATGTTGTCCATGGGAACTGTGGGTTTCGTCCTATTTGTGGATTCTCCCACTTAAAAGCAAATAGTTTTCAGCTTTCCTCCTCTGCAGTATACAAAAGAAAGCATCCCTTAAATCAAGCACTGTAAAGCGCTGATGGTTCTCTTTCAGTGCTGTGGAAAGTGTGTATGGATTTGCAGCTACAGGATGTATGTCTTTAACTATTTGATTTATAGCCCATAAATCCTGAACTAATGTATATTTACCTGAAGGTTTTCTTACTGGTAAAACTGGAGTATTGTATTCTGACCCACGCTCTTCTAGAATCCCAAACTTTAAGAATTTACCAATCAATTTCCTGATTCCTGGTCTAGCCTCTGGCTTGATTGGATATCACTTGATTCTCACTGGTTTTCCCTGTTCTTTCAACTCTATTTTCACAGGTTGGGCTGTCTTTGACCAGGTGTGTCTATATTTGACTATTGTATAACAGCCTGATCTACTTCCTGTGGTATTTGTTCCTTAGCTTTCTCCTGTCTCATCAGTATTTCCCCTGCCTTTGATTCTGGTACTTTTAAAAGAATCTCTCCTTTTTCAAACACTATTTGCACCTTTAATTTGGACAATAAATATCTCCCCAACAAAGGTGTTGCACTCTGGCACATATAAAAATTAGTGTGCAATTACCTTATTTCCAAATTTCAAGTCTAGGCTTGGCCTGTTTTCTTGCTTCCCAATTGCTCCCATTTACCGGCTGTTTTATTTCCAGTTTTCCCTTTGCAGGTTGCCCTGGGTTTAGCAGTAGCAGTCATTTTTCTCCTTCTTGGTAGCTGGTGCAGTGCTGTGTTTTGACTTTCGGGCTGGGAACAGAGCTGATAAAAATGATGTTTTGGTTTGGCCAAGGACTCTGTGGGCCTCATGCTCTTTCAGGGAGGAGGGAAGCCGGGAGGAAGCAGGGACAGGACACCTGACCCAAACTGACCAAAGAGGTATTCCATAGCACAGCACGTCATGCCCAGGATGTAACTGAGAGCGACCGGGAAGGGCTGGGACTGCAGGGTTGGAGGAGGTATCGGTGGGTGCTTGGTCGGGCTGGGGGGATGAGTTACCGGTTGGCTGGTGCTGAGGTGTTGTATTCTCTTCCCTTGTTATTTCCTTTATCATTACTATTATTGGTGGCAGCAGTAGTGATTTGTGTTGTACCTTAGTTACTAAACTGTTCCTATCTCAACCCATGGGAGTTGCATTCTTTTTGATTCTCCTCTCCATCCCTCCGAGAATAGGGGAGGGCAAGAAGGGGGGGGGGGGGGGGGAAGAGAGTGGACAAGCTGTCTGGCATTGGTTAAACCATGACACAGGTGTTCAGAACAGAGTATGTTGCGCCCATATCTACTAAAACTTCAACCTTATTGTCTCCCAGCTTAATAACCAGAGGCTCAGCTGGGTTCCCCTCTGGGCCTCTTCAGATGTCTGGGGTCATCATCTTTGCAGCTTCTTGCTGACTTCTCTGTAGTTTAGGGCAGTCATCTTTCCAATGTCCCTTTTCCCTGCAAATCCATCCCTAGGGGTGCATTAGGTTCTTGGTTACCAAAGTTTCTAAACCCTCCTGTTCCTCTGGCTCGCTCTCTTCCCTTTCCCACATTCCCAGTTAAAAGAGCTGTTAGTCTGCGCTCTCTGCCTTTTTCTTTTTTTTCTTTGCTCTTCCTCCTTTTCTTGATCATCCTAGAAGGTCACCAAATTGGTCAGCCAGGATTTGCCCGTAGTGAAGCCATGCTGGCTGTCACCAAACACCTCGTTGTTTTTCATGTGCGTGCCTTCCAGGAGAGTCTGCTCCAAGGTTTTGCCAGGCACAGAGGTGAGACTGACTGGTCTGTAATTCCCCGGGTCATCCATTTTCCCCTTCTTGAAAATGGGGGTTATATTTCCCTATTCCAGTCATTGGGAGCTTCACCTGACTGCCATGATTTTTCAAATATGATGGCCAGCGGCTTAGCAACTTCCTTTGCCAGCTCCTTCAGGACCCATGGATGGATTTTGTCAGGTCCCATGGACTTGTGCATATTCAGGCTCTTAAGATGGTCTGGAATCAGATCCCCTCCTACAGTGGGCCTAGGGTCTTCACCCTCAAAGTCCCTGTGTCTGCCTTCCAAGACTTGGGTGGTGCAATCAGAGCCTTTGCCAGAGAAGTCTGAGGCAAAGAAGTCATTGAGAGCCTCAGCCTTCTCCAAATCCAGGGTAGCCATTTCTGATACCTTCCGGAGAGGGCCCACGTTGTCCTTTGTCTTTTGTTAGCTACATACCTATAGAAGCCCTTCCTGTTATCTTTCACATCCCTTGCCAGATTTAATTCTAACTGGGCCTTAGCTTTCCTGATCTCGCTCCTAGCTTCCTGGGCAACATCCCTGTATTCTTCCCAGGCCACCTGTTCTCACTTCAATCTTTTCTAAGGTTTTTATCTCATACATAAGGATTATTTATAATCAGTGAGCTGCAGTCCCTGGGGTTCCTCTTTTGGCAGCCTGGCCCCAGTCCCATCTGCTGCGCTGCAGTGATGGGTGCCAGAGCCCCGATTGCCCTGTGCAGGGCCTGGGCAGCCAGGGGTTCTGTGCCTCCCTCTCCCACCCCTGCCCTGGCAGCAGGGCTCATTGGCACCTTGCTCAGTGCCACCTCCCCTCAGGTCCTGTCCTTCCCTGCGGTCACCCTGCTGAGTGGAGAGGGGTGCAGCCAAACCGACAGTGCCGGGGCCGTGCTGCCGGCAGTGTGCTGTGCAGCAGCAGGTCTGACAGAGCTCTCTGCACAGGGCTGGCTGCACCGTACCTGAATGACACGCTGCAGATCTGTGATGGGGAGTAGGGGCAGTGCTGTGTGTGCTGGGGCTGGTGGGGCAGGGGATGGAGCCTGGGCAGCATGCTGCCATGCCCTGTCCTGCTTTGGGGAATATCTCAGGGGCATTTGTTGCATTCCTGAGCAGCAGCTTCCAGGTGATCCATTTGTCCCACCTGGCCAGGGGAAGGGATGGCTGGGGCTGGCACGGTCTGGAAGGGATGGCTGCAGGTCTCTGCACATCAGCAGGTTTCAGCTCTGCTCTCTTTCCTTCTGTTGCAGACCAACAGCTTTTGGCAGAAGACGACAAACTCCAGGTCTTGTCCCTGGCAGTTCAGACCATACACGTCCTGAGCTGTACAATGGTGTGGCCGAGATGGGCACAGCGGCTGCGGGTGCTGTGCAGCAGCAAAGCTCTGCTTAAGAAAACGGCTGGTGGAAAATGTTGCCTAAATGCTTTCTTAGGTCCCCAGTAGGACAGATGCATTAAAGCATTGTCACTGTCCCCTGTTCCTCCAAACAAAGTCAACCTGAACAACAGCAAGCAGGGAGATCCTTACCAATGCTCTGAAACACTCTGTCCTCAATACCATCACGAGTGCGGTTCTCAGCCCCTGGCAAGGCAGTCCTCCCAGCATGAGCTGAGAAGCTGCTCACTGCTTCTCAGCACAGGCTGCCAAGGGCTACAGCAGCAAACATACCCTAGTAGAATGATAACACATCCGGAAGCGGTCTGGGAAGCAGCAGTGTCATGGTGTGACATGACCCAGTCCCTCATCTCTGGCATCTGCAACAAGGACAGAGACACCACTGCAATCCTTCCTTGCTAGTAACCCAGGAGCAATGACTGAGATGCTTCTGTGTCAAATGAACATGGCCCAAGCCTTTATTCACACAACCAATTTAACATTTCCTTGTTTGTCAAGTTCCGCAATAGCCAGCTCTTTCAAGATTTGTATTCTTGAGTCAGTGGCTTTCATATTCATCTTGTTCATCTCCAAAACAGTGCTCCTCTGTAAGAGAAAAGCAATTATTTAGCAATACAGGGCATCAAACATCAGCTCTGGCAGAAAAAGGCTGAAAAGAGCATTGTATTTCCTGAACTATTTTTGCAAGTACTCTGTAAATCTAGCTTATTCACATTTTCTGTCCTACATCAAACTGAAAAGTCATTTGCTAATCCAACCCCTGGCTAAAGACACAATTCCTGAGTTTAAATTTCCTTCATTTTAACATCACCCTGCAAGAAACCCTCAGCGCACGTGCCAGAGAGGACTCAGGCTTGGAAGGTGGGAGGGATTGGTGCGGGGAGGGCACGGTTTGGGGCCATGGTTTAGCAATGCATTGCTTTCCCAGTCTGGATACCGATTCTGAAAGCTAAAAGGCTTTGGCAGTACAACTGTGTCAGCAAAACCTTCTGGAATAAACCCAGTTTTGGACATCTGTACACTGAAACCCAAAGGGAAAAAACTGAAGAACCTGACACGCAGTTTTGAAAATGATCATTCAAGTCACTTTTACACAAATGCATTTAGGGGGGTTTGTGTGGTGACCTCACACTCTGGGGCACGTACCTCACCAGGAAGTGCATAGGGGACTTAAATCAAGTTATGAAGTTATAATACAGCCATGAGGGGTTAACTAAGCTGCTTTTGTTTCATTTGAAAGGGCTGAATTTCTTTACATCTTATGAAATTCTTACTAATGGCTTTAAGTCTTATCTGTTCTTGTTTACAATGAAGTGGTTCAGTAACTCCTCGTACAAAAATAACTCCCTGGACAAACTGTCCAATTCTGATAGTTTAACAGTACTTCTGATAGTTCTTGGTACAGTCAGAAGTATTTCCTCAATGGTTTGAATTGTGATTCTAAAAATAGGGTTTCTTCAGAATCAGACTTTCATTGCTTTTTAAGAAAGCCCTAAAAGGGTCTAAGGGCAGATTCTTCAGCAAAAGGAAGGAGAAAAGGATGATACTCTGCCCAAACCATCACTGTACCTGCAGACTCAACAAAAAATTAAGTATTTTGAGATTTGATGTGGAGTAACAAATTTGGTCTGTCAATGACTAGTTGGTTGTTTGGGTTTTTTTTTGTTTGTTCCTTCTTAAAGAATTAGGAAAATTCAGTTCTATAGGTAGGGATGAGCTATCTCTGTAGTAACTGCTATTTCTGTAGTAAGACTGGTACACCCTTTCTTCCAGACCATAAACACAACAGTAACTACTTCAATTCATATCAAAAGCAAGGAAAACTCCCAGAGACATGAGAACTGTATGTGGAATGTAACTAAGGCATCACTTTTTTATATTAAAGTCTAAACTCTTCACATTAAAGCAATACTTGTGCTTGAGAGTGAAAATGTTCAGTGAATTTACTGAACATCACAGGCTGTATGTTTTGTAAATAACAGAGAAACTGTATGGAGGTCTCAGCCTGTTCCTCCTTACTATGAGATTTGCCCTCTGGTACTCAGGGTTAATACAGCTTTTATTTATCAGCTGAAGTTATTTACAGTATCTGCCTTTTCCAGAGGTAAAACAGTTGAATTCATTACTCCCTGATTCTAGATGGTAACTTGGTATGTTTAAATAGTACAGAAGTATAAGAATCCAATATTAGAGATGGAGGCCTTTAGAGAGTGATATTATCATCAAGCTTACCTCCTGGGGCTGGGGGTGTGGGGAGATTAGTCAAGGGGGGGGGGGAAACAACAGGAAGATTATTCCTTCAGCACTTACCTTCAGTTGAGGCAGTGCTTGTAGGTTCTGAATAAGATGGCTAAAACCAAACAAGATAGTATCAGGATTGTTGGAATTTTGTTTAGAGATTATTTTTTACAATTTCATTTCTGCAGAACTAATTACATTTTACCACTGGATAAACAAGGATCTTGCAGCCACTGATGTCAGCAGTAAAATCTTAGGCATTAAAGAAACCCTGTCTTCAAATAAAAGGTAAGCTTAAACCAGATACAGAAGGATTTATATGCAAGTCAGATGAGCCTCTTCAGCTTTCTCCTTTGCATTCCAGTATGGATCTAGCTGAAATCCTGGCACATGCAGCAAAGGAAAAAGGTGGCTTTCCTATTCTGAAGCAGCCTTCAGAGGCTGACAGCTCTAACGAGCTGAAGGTAGCTGTATCTAACTCCCCATAGCCAGAAATACATCATAGATGAAAAAATACCAGAGTCCCTTTGCAACATTTTGCCATTCTTTCTGCCTTTCAGAGAGCATCTTCAAAACATAATGATGACATAGGGACTGACATCAATTAAACTGGCCTCAGTAGCTGCAGGATATAGCTACATTTTGCACTGGTTTAAGACATCTGCACGTGTGCTTGAGCATTAAATAAAAGACAGACATTGAGAGATTTTATTAACATAAGAGAAGATATTTACAAACAGATAGTGAATGAAGTTGTGAGATGCTGGACAGCTTTCCTGCCAGCCAACTGTGGCAGTAAAGAGACAGAAAGCAAGGAATCCTGTGACAGAGGAGTAGTGGGCAGGGCAAAAACATGTAGAAAAATATGAGGTCGATAAGATAATTATACTCTATTAACCTTCTTAATATTTTGCTTTTAATAGGAGTCACAGACCAAATCTTTGCAGATAATTATAAGTTTGTGCTTTGAGTAGCTTTGGGAGAATATCTGACATTTTAACAAGCATTATTTTATATCTATGTTCTACTTCATTACAATTAGAATATATTTATTGTTCTTCATATTCCAAAATGTATTTACTATTTTACATGGAATTAGATTTCTCTACATTTTGATATATGTTGGTTTGAATCAATTAAATTCTTTACTCCCACCCAAAGGCTTCTTATGTAACGCATTAACAGAACAATAGGATCAACAAGAGCAATCAACTACCTCTCTGAAAAGAAATGTAAATGTATCCCAGTTAAAAGGTAAGGGGAACAAAGTCTTCCATCAAAGCCAACCTTTCTTTGTGGATAATTTAATTGTAACAAATAATAAAATTAATCAACATAGAATAAAAATTAAAAGGTTTGTTAGAAACTTTAGTTCCATTTCTGGAAAAGAAAAAAACGTCCATTCATTGGAGAGGTATTAATACAATACCCTTCCGACTTCAGATGAGCTACACTCAGGATTAATGGTTTCTGGAATATAGACATGCTTTGGCCTCATTACCTCTTCCGTTAGCAATTCAGCAGTTTGGCTGGTTAACTGCAGTGCTGCAGCCTGTTCTTCTGCTGACAGGGGTAAGCACTAGGAAAAACAAACAAACACAGAGAACTCTGATACTTCCAGTTCCTAGGGTGATGGTGTTTACAGAAGAACTCAATGTCTGTGTAGCCCTTTCCTTAAGGAAACTAACAGTAGACTCCTACTTGCCTTCAAATGAAACAAAATCTACAAGCAAAGTATTTCTGAAAAATCCAACCATAATATTCCTGTAACATCAGTACTATTACGATTCAACAGAAAGAAGAAAAATTATTCAACAGGAACTAGCGTTTCACTTAAAGACCTGAGTTTCTCCGTAACAGTTTAATCCATCTTTGGTTTAGGATATATACAAAGTACATGAAAATCTTCATCTAAAAAGTCTAAACAAAACTCGAGACAAGAGTCTTCCACTTTAACAAAGTCCAAATATGAAATTATTCTTGGCAGTGTAATCTTGGAACCCAGGCAGAGAAAATATCTTTTCCTTTCTATGGCTTAACTACTGTCTTTTAAATCGTTATAGAGTACATTTTATCTATAAAACTTACCAGTAACCTCTCTAGAGCTTTTGACAGATTAAACACAATCTTGAGTCACTTAGAACATCTTAGTGAGAGCTGAGATCTGGGAATACATTTTAGGCACACCAGTTCTGTCTTTGCCACTAGACTATCAATTAGCTTTTTTGATCTAAATCCCCTTATTTGTAAAGGGATGGAATTAATGCTTTCACAACCTCTTCAAACCTGTGATAAAGCAGTGCCTGGAGACCACTTACACAAATGTTCTGTTATTGATTTTTTTTAATAGGGATTATACTGAGAAAAACTTACTTTGTACTAGAAGCAGTTCCACTGCAGATGTCACAGTGTATTGCCTTTAACTTACTTTAGACAGCAAAAATGCATTTGCCACTTAAAAGCTTTTTTGCCTTTTGAAATTGTTTTCTCTGTCTCATTTCTTTAAGGTGGCTACTTAAAAATATGTCAGTATAGAACGGGGACGCAGCTGTGCACAGAGGCATCAGTTGCTGTGAAACTATCCAAACGTGTGTCACACCATTATCATGGAATCATTTTGGTTGGAAAAGACCGTTAAGGTCATTAAGCCCCAGCGTTAACCCAGCACTGCCAAATCCACCACAATATAAGCCAATGCCTTAACTGCAAAAGGTATTATAACAAAAAGTCTGAAGAATGACGGTATTACTTCATCTCCAAACTGCATACCACTAGCTTAACTGTGGAGTGATGAATCAGGCTTGTGTTTTACCAAAAAATGCTCCAGTCTTGCAAACATTTCTTCCGGTAAGCTTACTTTCTAAAAGCCTTCTAAGAGTCTCCACATGTAATGGTTTCCAACGCAACTACTTACGCCTATGTAAGGGTTACACAGACACATGTTCATTTACATGAGCGAGACACAAGGGATTAAAATGAAAATACTACCTCAAGACCAGCATGTTGCTTTAACACCCGAACTATCTCCGCTGTGTTCACTAGAGCAGCACAGATGCTCCTGATGGATTCTCTCTGCTCTGTGAAAACTTTTTTCATCTGCATACACAACATTTTGTAACGAGATTTCACCACTGCAATTTCTTCCAAGAGAGCAACTGGATTTTCCTATGTAGAAATTAAAAGTGTATATAAACTATGTAAGAAGAGAAAATTAATGTGGCCCATATGAATTAAAAATATAGGCATTAGAGCTGCTAAAATATAACATTAAATGACCCTTTACAATAAAAAGCATAGCTGTGAGGATGTTCCATCTATACATTTAATCTTTCATAAGGAGAAATGGTAGGGTTAATAAAACAGGGTAACTCTGTGGTTCCACAACAAATACAGGAGGATGAGTTTACTGTGTTGGTGAATTTTAATGGCTTGTCTGGAATAAATTTGGGACTTCTAACTAAAAAAATTATTTTCCACTACATGTAACAATATACACACTGAGACAAGGACTTACTTACAAAATCTTTTATATGATGACACTTACTGCTTTCTTCTTCATATTATCTCTCCCTCAAATCTGAATTTAGTCATTGCTCAAAAGGAAGATTATATTTGATCTCAAAGCAAGGGTGTGTTTTAGGTCAGACTGGAATCTGTCTCTTAAATTTAGGTATTAACTCTACTACTCATTTCTCAGAGCAGAACATGGGGGAATTTCATGATACCAAGAAATCAAAGGGGTTTTGTTGGTTTCTGCACTGAATTCATATTAAGTCAGTTATCTTGATATACAACACAGGAAATACAACAAGAGTCTAACAACTAGATAAAAGAACAGCCATGTATATTTCAGGATTAAAGAAAATTACCCATTTATTACCAACTTCATACAAAATGCAATAAAATCTATACATTTAGTCTGAAAATACTACCTCTGGTGCCAGATCATCAGGAAGACCTTTCAATATTTCAAACTCCAGTCTGTGTCGAATACAATCCAGGTCAGATTCTGCCTTCTGGAACTAAAATATTTCAGGTCAGCCACAGTATGTTAAAAAACAAAAATTGCAGACAACCCCCAAACGTTTGCCTTTCCTGTATTTCAGGAAAGCAGAAGCCAGATGCCTCCGTTTTAAAGGCTTGTGCACTATACAAGTAAGTTTCTATTCCTCCAATCCATTCCATTAGCTAATGTCTGCCAATTATACTGACACACGTCTAGCTTAAAAAATATAAAGCAATAAACTTTCAGACTTGACAAAAACTCTCACATGTAAGAATTACATGTGCACACACACATACCCTCTTTCTAACCCAAATGTCCCAGTTGTTCTCTTTGCAACAGTACCTTTTCCTGCAGCTCCCCAAAACACATGAAAACATTTTCATCTCCTCCCAATTTACATGCCTTTGCATTGCCAAATGTCTCAGGATGAAGTTTTTAAGTACTAGACCAAAGGGGCAAGTTCTATCAATAGAAATAATTTGATCTTCACTGAATGCAGGAGGTGTTTGACTTTTTTTTCCCTCCTGAGATATTAACATATTTTCCATCCTTTTTTAGAGCTTTATCTTGGCTAGTTGCTTTTCTTTTCAAACCCTAGAAGTTCTGCTAGCAAAACTGCAATACTGTTATTTAGACAGCAGAGATTATGCATATGTGTTCAGGATCCAAGCATATCAACAGAGATATTATTAATTATATCAGGAATGCATTCTCTCAGATGATAATAATACATTTCATTATTCCCCAATAAATTAGATTGATAAATAGATAATAAAATTGATAACCTCACATTTCTTTCCATGGGATAAACAAGCCACCAGAGAATTATCTAATCGCCTTGTAAAACAGTCTGCTGATAGCATTATTACTTAATTATTTTTAATCTGCAGATTTAATATCTATTAAGGACTTCCACTTTAAAGAAAGGCAGTTTTCCCAGTTCACAAACAACTCATGAATTTTTTAGCATCACAATTTAGTGATTGTACAATCACAGAAGAGACACTGACGAAAGCAAGTTAAAAATAGTTGTAATTTACTCCACTCGGTTTTCACTAGTTACCTTGCGGTTAACCCTGAAGTCATCATTACAGCTCTCTTAAGGATCACAGTAGGGCTCTATTTATTGAGCGTATCCCAAAGTACTGACTGGCAGAGCTGTAGAGGCAGCTAAAGTGCCAAGTTTCAGCAGTGTTTGGATGTAGCCTCTAGTCAGACCAAAAGGATGTTTATGTTTTAAACATCAGCCTTTGGATCCACCTTCAGGAACTGCCACTAATACCTTTGAGAATCTGGAACTTGAGATAGCCTGAAGGAATAGTGCTCGATCCAAGGTATTGTACAAGTAAAATCCCCTTTCTGATGTAATGGAAAATGTATGATTTTCCCTAAACATATGCACCTTCAGTACATTGTCAAATAATAGCTTAAGAAAAGGCAAATAAATCTAGCAAAGACCTTGAGTACCTCTAACTGAAAGAGAAAGCTGTCACTGATACGCCCATAACTTACCATCTGCCCAACAGAATTCCTTCCCATCTATGCCCCAAAACCCAGTTATGATAAAATGCAAGAATAAAACACTTTTTATTACACTATGTATTTTTAAAGAGTCATGAGGGGGTTTTTTCCTAACTGCTCAATCATTTATGCTCTCCTCCACTAGCAAACTTTTTAGGTTTTCATTTCTCAAGGCAGGTACCCCAAAAAGATAATATTTTGCTTTTCTCCAACTTCTCCATTTGATTACTCTTTGGAAAAGCAGTTAATTATTTTAGGCAAAAGCAGACAATGAAGATGGGTGGCTTTCAAATTTATCCATAAGATTCTATTCCTGAAATGCTCAGTATTGGTAATTTGAGATTTACAGAAACACAGTAAGGCACTAATATCCTGCTACTACTACTTGAATCAAGGCACTGAAAATGGAATGTGAAGCTGAATGCTTATCCATCACATGGCTGTAATTTTAACATTTGTGCTTAATGGAAACACTAACACAGTTCAGTATCACTGCTTTCTCCCAAAAGTAGATACTAAAAGAAACAATATTTATTACCAGCAATTTCAAAACGTGCTTAAAAGCACTGCCATACGCAGTTTTAGGGAACATACCCCTGCAAAAACATCACCTTAATGTTGTAGGGTAGGACCATTCCTATGATGAGTACTGTACAACAATCACACAGAAAATGCAGGTTTTGAAATATAAATTTGTAATTTACTCACAGGCTTATGAAAAAAAGTGTCAGAAACCGTGAGGTGAGACTCTGCTTTCAGATGCTTTGACAATACTATTGCACTGCTAGCTGTGAAGTACAGTAGTGCAATAAAGTCAGAGCATTCGTTAGCAGCAAGAATTCTGTACGAGTCATCAGTAGACTCAAAATATGTACCTGAAAAAACAGGTTGAGTCAGATAGTGGTTTCTGTGGATCAGGGAGAATTGGATAAGGTTAATGTTCACCAAATACTAAGACACACAAGAACTCACATATTTCAGGGCATTATTATTATTCATAATCCCCCTCATGCCACTGACGAACAGGAGGGGAAAACCACCCAACAGATCTGTCAGAAACTCCATTTCAAACAGTTTGGTGCTCTTTTAACTGGAAACTGCAATTCTGAGTTTATTTACTTATTAGATTTGCCTCACAGCAAGCAAAGATTCTAAACTGCTATCAGACAGATGTTATTAAACTGCATTAGAGGGAACACTTTCTGGATACCAGAGTTTATTCTTTGCATTTGCAAGCATTGAATCACTTTAAAATGTACTTAGACGCACACTTATTTCCCAACGCTGTGGATGTACTTTACCACTGAGGCTACCAGACAGACGTCAGAGCACCATCAGAGGGGGGGTGCGTTTCATAAATCTCAATAAAGGTGTTTCTTTTTAACAAAACAGTAACTCTACATAAAAAGTTGGAGAACTCTTAGGGTTTCGAGGTGCAAAGACTGTTAACAACAAAATGCAAAAAAGGAGTGGGATGGAGCGGAGAGAGATGGATGGTTGCTGATGCACATGGAGCAACAACTTGAGCCAACCCCGTACCTGTAACATTTCTCCAGAACACACCATAGGAAATAGGAATGCTACACAGTGTCCTTTCCTCTTTGCAGGGCACTTACTTCCAAGGAAAAACACACACAGGAATGATGGTATTTGTAATTAAAAGACCAGTTAATGCTTCCCCTTGGCAAATAACTAGAAGACAATGAGTGCAAAAACAAAACAAAAGAAACAAAAAACAAAACAAAAACCTGTCAATCCCATTCTACAGTTGTTCCGAGCACCACCTTCTGGTCTCAGACAGTGGCTTCTGACTTCTAACTATAATAATAGTAATAATGAGCAACGTAGATAGCATTGCTGGCCAATGCCCTTTTAACATTGCACTGCTTTTTGTGCGTGATCACTAGTAGTACAACATAAAAAGGGCACTGGACAGACACCACTCGAAGAAAAAAGTAGGTCCATTATACCGAAACCACAGGGACAGAAAGTAACTGAGTTGCTCTGAATTAAGCACTCCCAGCTCATTTGACAGTTTATCCATTTGTTGTCACGTTTTACTAAATGGATGTCCACAAAATTTCTCTCAGTGCAGACTGCCAAAGTGCATACTGGAAGTCACCAGCTCAGGGTATGAAGTCCGGAGCATTAAAGGTTTTTGGAATGGTTGTACACAAGGATACATTTGTCAGCACTGTATTTTCAGGAGAGGCCTGACTGTGTCTGTTGAAGCTGTTGGAAAGGACTCCAATCCCAGCTGCCTTCAAGGAACACTTGTGCAGCACAGTCTGAGGTGCGTAAGTCCCAGTAATCTTAGTTAAAGCATTAATAAGTCAGCTTTACAATCTTTTGCATAATGAATCTCTGTAGAAGTCATGGTTCATTCCACTCTGGTTACTGTACTTTGAGGAACAGTCTCAAATAACCATTGATTACCTGCTGTTTTCATATACATTGTTCTTCTTAAGCTCCCACAAATTATTTTATCCCTAAATGAAACAAAAAGACTAAACCAAAGACTAAAACAAAGCTTCCCACGACATTCATGTCAAAACCTCAGGGGAAATAAGAAGTGCTATTTTATCACACTTCTGTGGAGAGAGCTGACTTCACAGGAAATCCAGGAAGAAAAAACAATAAGCAGAAGGAAAAGCAAGCGACACGAAGCTGTGATGTGAGACATAGCTGCCAATGTACATATTCTGATTCAGTTAAACAATGACAAAGGGGAATATTACACTTTTGGATGAGGTTTGTATATAGGAAATTAATAAGTGAAACTGTTTGAGATGTATTTAAGGAAACACACTTTTTTTGAAAACAAACCAAACTAAATCAGATGCAGACACAACTGCCTTGTGCCACCTGCAGTTTCAGTGGAAGAAGGCAGCCAGGGATACCATCTTCCACCATCTGAATGAAGAATTAACACAAGAATCAAACAGAAAAATGTCAGACTAACAGGGTGAAATCAAAATCTTTTTTTTTTCAGATGGATTACCCAAAGATCTGGGGTACTTAGAAGAGGGTGAAAGCCCAAGCTATAGTCTCCACACTTTTGGAAATTGCTATGTGCCATCCTTGTGGATAATTGACCCAAACAAGCTCTCCACCTTGAAGTAATCCGTGCAATAACCATACTGGTCTACTCATAAAGTAGATCATTAAGACAATGTCCCACTACAGTCTTCTTCCACTACTATATATAAAAACCCCTGCTAACTTTGCGTGGGCACAAATACCTCCCTGACTATTTACATGACCTAAAATGAGAATTGCTTGAAAGTAAAACTTTCAATAACACACATAAATAAACTATAACGTTAAATAAATAAATACCAACATCTAACCTAGGTATCTCTAAGCAGATTTCTAAATTATTCTTGCTAAACTAGGCTTTTAAATAAATAATGCTAATAAAAGACATGGGAAGATCAAGGTTACACTATTGGCAAGGCTGAGGTTTTGAATTTGAAATTAGAATAACTTCAGAGCTCTGACAGGAATATAGTATGTCACTGAATTAAAATACTGTCTATTATTACCACTCTACGTACTCAGTGTAATGACTGCAGTTGAGTAGCCAAAGAGGAAGAAAAATAACCCTCACCTCCTCAAAAGCATGGCTTCTTCAAAGAAAAAGCAAGACAAGACACACCACCTTGTTTTTAAGGTGCAGTAAAACTGAGAATTAGGACAGTTTGAAATCTCTGCTCTTTCAAATAATGCAGGTATTCTGGTGTTTATTCAATTGCTACTTTTTATTTCTTAACAGAAATAGAATCACAGAATAGGTTGGAAAGGACCTTTAAGATCATTGTGTCTTACTGTCGCAGTGACATGCAGGTGACATGAGTGACAAAGGCAGAACTAGCTCATGTTTAGACAACTTTCAGCCAATTGCTTCTTTGGAGATACCAAACCCTTCCCTGCTTCCCAACTGAGCTTTAATACTCACACTGTGCTGGAGAAGTGACACTAAACTAAATATGTTTAAACACAGAGCACTGAGCTGCACAACAGTTTTGTGTATTAAGGTCTAGTGCCCATGAGGTTAAGGGATAATGTGGATATACAATATTCGCTGCCGTGTTTTCCCAGCATTCCTCCATTATTTTCTCTTGAATATTCTGCTTTGGTAACGTTACTGTGTACAGGTAGCAATTAGGAATCTATTAACCTCATTTTGGCTTAATTCTTAATGAGAACTTGAAACCAAGATTGCCAGAATATAAAAGAAAAAAAAAAACACAAAAATCTCTATTGTGCTATTTGTGTTTGTATTGAATAATGCACTTTTTTCTCCATGAGGACACTCGTAGTTTATCAACTAATTAAGTCTATCAATTAATTAAACTTATCAACTACCTAACACTGCTGCTACTACAAATGACAAAAACAAAACTTGTGATAAGTTTCCAAGCAAAAACAAACGGAGCACCATGGTTTGGAGAACTACGGCAGTACCAGCATTTTAATTTATGTAGGATTTAGGAGAACATATTATCAGTTAAGGACTGGATGCATAAAACATCCCTGAAGCATTTTAACTAAAACAAGAGTGTAATTACATTACATGGAAGGAAAAACGCAGATCAGGATTTGGAGGAGGCCACAAGGAACTTGGCTGTTTACAGGGACAGCTTCCCAGTGCCTCCCAACATGTGAAAGCACAGCAGAGTTTGTGGGGTTTTTTTATCATTATTTCGCCTGTCCATGAGCGGCACAGGCAGGAAGGCGGTTAGTACATAGGGCAGCTCAGTCTTGCCCCCAGGGGCTGGCTCCAAGAGCGCCGAAACGGAGCTAACCGCTGGAGCGGCCGCAGGAAGAGCCGTCCTCTCCTCAGAACCGCCCGCCGCCCACTCCCCACACGCCCCTCTCCTCAGGGGGCCTCAGCGCCCACCCTGCGGCGCGGCCAAGGGGGAGGCTCCCCGGACCTGCCCTGCTCTACCTGCCCCGTCCTCCCGGGGGGAGGTAGAAGCAGACCCCAAGACGCCACCGCCCCCGGAGGGCAGCTATCCCGGCGGTAAGCCATCCCAACCGGCAGCGAATGAAACAGCCCAGCGGCCTCTCCTCCCCCGACACCCCCTCAGGGAAAATGGTCTAGCCCAGGTGAGAGCTCCACCCTCACCCCCCGCTGAGACAAAATAGATTCGTCCAGCAGCGCTCAGCTCCACCCCGCGCCGCCGCGACGGGGAAATTAAGGAAACGGGACCGGAAACGGGGCCGGGACCGGACGCGCGCCCCTCCAGGTGAGCGGGAAATAGCCAGGCCCTGCCCCCGCGCCGAGGGGTGAATGGAGCGGTACAATGAAGCCCCGCCCCCCCCCGCTCGGGGAGGGCCGGGGAGTGGGGGGGGGTGGTGAGCTCAATGGACCGGCCTCGCCGAACTTGCCTGACCCGAGCGGCGGGCGGCGGCGTCTCGTCGAGGGCGGCGAGGGCTCCGCTCAGGCCCGGATGGGGCGCGGGCGCGGCTGGGGACAGAGGGGAGGCCGCGCCCCGCTTTCCCCCCCTCCATCAGGCGGCAGCCCGGTGCCTTCCGAGGCGCTCCCGCCGCCGGCCCCCGGCCCGGCCGCCGCTCAGCCCGGCCGTTGCCCGCACTCACCATGGTCTCGAGCTTGGTAACCGCCGTCTCCATGTTGAATAGTTGACATTCCTCAGGCGGCGGCGGGGAGGTCCCCACCCCCCGCTCCTCAGGATGGGAGAGCCGGCGGCCCCCATTGGGTAGCTGTCACTCGCCGCTCGTCTGTCATTGGCTAGCTGCTGACAGAACGCTCTCGCTATTGGGTCGCGAGGAATGTAAACCCTCTCCGAGGTACGGGGGAGCTCATTGGTTGGTAGAAAAACTTCAACTACCTGATTGGTTAGGTGGGGGAGTAGCGCGAGCCGTGATTGGTCCAGAATGAAATCTAGCAGCGGATGGCTGGAGTAGGGGGTGCAGCTCCGCAATTGGCGAAAAGTAGAGCGGTCGATTAGCCACGGCCCGTCTCTGGCGAGGCGGGGCAGTACGGGTCCGCGGAGGGAACCGGAGTTCCCCCGCCTTGCAGCCCCGTTGGCCTTTCCCAGATGAGCGGTATCCCGCAGCTGATTGGCGGAACTCCAAGCCTTTACCCAATGATGGGTCGGGTCTCCCCGCGATTGGCAATTCGCCGCTCCCGTCGAGCCCGGGCTCGCATCATTCCGGCTGCCAATCAGCGAGCTGCTAGCACAGGGCGCGGGGGACAGGACGGCAGAGAGGGGCGCTCCCATTGGCTGGGGTCTGCGCGGGTTGCGGTTTGAATCGGCGGCGCCGAGGGGGAGGTGAGAGGTGGCGGGTCAGAGGGGGCGTGCGCACGGTTTGGAGGGGCGGGGGCTGTTGCAGCGGTATGGCGGCCCCGTGTGCCCGGACACCCGTGGCACAACTGGGGCTCGGTGTGTGAGGAACCGGCCGCTCCTTGGCGGGGGCCGCGAGCAGAAGCAGGGGCGGTGGGTCAGGCACGGGGTTAGGTAACGGGTCAGGTACCGGCTCAAGTACCGGGTTGGGCACGGGGTCAGGTAACGGGTCAGGTACCGGCTCAAGTACGTGGTCAGGCACGGGCTCAGGTAGCGGGTCGGGTACCGGCTCAAGTACGGGGTGAGGCACCGGGTCAGGCACAGCCCGGACCCCGTGTGCGGATTCTTCGCGGCTTTTGCCAGCGTTGCCCAGAAGTGCTGTTTCCGCAGCACGCAGTGTTTGTCACCTTGGGGGAAAGCAAAACTGCCACCAAAAAGCCGCAGAAAATGGGGCTTTTACATTGTTCATGCCGTGTACAAATACATCCTTGTGGACCATAGGGACTTAAGGATGTGTTTTCCCTCAGCTGTATATGCTGCTTCTAGCAAGACAACAGTGAATAAATCCTGAGTGGATTTTCTGAAGTGTGGCTCATGTTCTTTCCTCTCAGGTGTAGCTCTGTGCCCGTGTGAAAGCTTCAGTACATTCATTGTAAATGTGTCTTTTTAAACAGTAATGGCCAAATATAAGGGATGCAGACAAAAACACAGAGCTCGAGCAGGATTTCTACAGGGGAAAAAAAGAAAGGCTGCAAACTCCTGTTCTCCACGGTAGGAGGCTCAGCTTGAGCTTTCTAACTCAATTTTGGGTCCACTGTTTGGTACCCCTGTGGAACTGACATAATAAATTGTATCTGAAGCTTGTCTATGTCCTGGCATGGATGCTGTGGACTTGTTTCACAGACTGGTTTGTGTTGGAAGGGACCTTAAAGCTCATCCAGTCCCTGCCACGGGCAGGGACCCCTTGCACTAGAGCAGCTTGCTCCAAGCCCCTGTGTCCAGCCTGGCCTTGAGCACTGCCAGGGATGGGGCAGCCACAGTGTTAGTGTAAGGACTGACACATAACCACCGGAATGGTTATATGAGGTGCTTTATTGCAGCGCTGGGAAACCAGGGGCACGCGCCCAAATCTCGCTTCGACCTCGTCACATCGTGTTCGCAATTTATACACTGAAGGTTACATAACTAATACATATTAAATACAGATTGCATCATTAACTAATACATATGCATTAAGGATTGCCACATCAGTCTATTATGACATCAGCCTCTTCTGCGCTTGCGCAGCCCCCCTCTGGTGCTCATCCTGATGAAGTAAGGAGTCTTTCTCGGATGAAGTAAGAAGTCTTCCTCGGCTTGTTCTTTTCACCTTTTTGTCCTCTGGACATATCCCAACCATTATGTGGATGCCAGCATTGTTCTATTTTCCCTTGACTACCTCTGGTAATTTCTAGGTTCTGCTTGGGTAGAATTTCACATCTTCTGGTACTCTATCATAAACTTCATAAGCAGAAAAAGCAATTTGGATAAAAATATATTGTAAATATGACACCCCCCTTTATCAAAATGCATTTTGATCTTTCCTGGTTTCCGTGGTCATGTTTGCTCTGTTGTCACCAGCTGTTGCTGGTACTTGTAATTTCCAGTTGATTGGTCACATTTAGCTTCTTTTAAAAGGCTGAAATGAGAAATACAATTATGGCCTCATTCTGAAACGTTCTGTTCCAGGTCAGCAAGTCAGAACACATCATCTGTCCCAAGCCGTCTGTCCTCACTCCGGTCACTAGCCTTGGCCAATGTGAAAAACATGGTAAACCCCTTCACAACAAAAGCATCATTTTTGTCCTCTTGGTGCCAGAACACGGTTGCACAGGTATGTTTTCTACTTCTCTACTTTTGACAGCGTGTGAGTCTGTTCTTAGCGCTCAGGTACAGGATACACAGTCAGATTGGAGAACTAAGCTGTAAATTTAGTTATGTCTATTGAAGCATCTAAAACGTAGTGCTTACTGTTGAAGGAATAAATATGAGAACAGTGTTAAGGCAGCTGTGGACATTAAATGCATACGTGCAATTGTGTTTTTTTATTGGAATATTAGGAGGATTTGCAGTGACAGGGTGCAGCCTTTCATAGCAGAAATGACTGTATGAGCTTTTCAGTCATGTGAATTAGAGTTCTGAATTTCTAGATGAAATTCATTCTTTTTTTGAGAGAAAGTTACTCCCTGTGCTCCTGCCAAGGAACTACTTGTGAAATTTTGTATCTTTGTGTTGCGCCTTTCTGTTGACTACAGTAAGATCTGTGGTGGAACTTCCAGTAGTAATCATAGCCTTGTATCTGGAAACATAACTTGATAGTGAAAATGCTAATCCAGTTTCTGTTTCTGCTTAGGGTTTTAAGGTGGTTAAAGACACCTTATTTCCGTCACAAATGTACTTAAGGGAGCTAAATACGTTAAGAGAGCAGCTGAAAAATTTGGAAACTGAATTTTCCAGACTCCAAGGAGCACTCCAGGTCAGTGTCATTCCTGATGGGGCAGGGTAACATTTGCATAACACGTAACGCGCTGTGGTCAGTGCCAATAAACCCAGATCTGAAGAGCTTCCTTTGGTCGTTCTCTGCGTTCAGCATTACCTCACAGCTAGAAGGAAGTGGTTTGCTGGTGACCCTTGCAAGAGGCTTTCTATGCCTTTCTTAGAAACTTTGCTGTCTAAAACTCTATCTACTTCTGCCAGTGGATTTAATATTCTGTTATTTGTCTGTTTTCAGATGAATGGAACCACAGCCTCGTCTTCAGAAAATTCTCTTTGTCAAAGGTGTAATAAACCACTTGTGGGTGCTCCTGTACCAAGGCAGATGGGCCTGCCATCACCAGTATCCAGGCCTTCTGCAATACAGGTGCAGCCTGCATTTGCACCCCCTCCACCTCTTCCTCCTCCAAAAGTGTAACAGCCATAAACCCCAGGTTGGACAGAGCCTTGGGTGATATAGTCACCCATCCCTGAGGCATCCCTGCCCACGGCAGGGGAGATACAACTAGGTGAGAAGAAGGTCCTTTCCAACTCTAACCATTGTATGATTCTGTGAAATCTTTCAGAGGATAAATATTAAATAGATTTAAGGTCAGTGAAACACTTGGAAATTTCATTTTGCTATGTCTTTTCTCCCTTCAGGCAGACTCACCAGTGAGGACACACAGGGCCTTTACAGTCTCAGTTAAGACCTAAAACCAAGCAACCTGCTCAATGTTACAAACTCCTTAATGTAAGATACTTTCTTTCCTTTAGTTTTTTTTTTTTCTGTTCTAAACACTGATTAACACTGTTCAGAGAATGGAAAACATTTTAACAATTTTTGTTCTGCTAGTACCCCTCCTAAAAATCACTTAGATCTTCGAAAACATCTGAGGAAAGTCAATATGCAAAGGTAAGTTCCTTTGTATTCTCTTGTTTTGTTTCTCTGGAGAGAAAAAAACAACAGAGTTGTTGGAATCGTAGTTCCTCCTATTTCTGATCTTTTCAGGAGTCCTGGAGGCACTAAATGGCAAAGAAAACACAGAATGCGGGTCTGGGTTGATGCCACTAATGACACAGGCACTCAGAACTTTGTATTATTAAAGCATCTGCTCCAGTGTCCACTAATCCGTGAAACATTTCCCCTTGTGTATAGCATGTCATCAAGGGTTGCAAGTCCTTTAGAGCCTTGGCCCAAAATATTTGGGGGGTTCCTGTGCTACCGAACCCAGAGCCACCTCTGGCCCCTCCCCTATCACCCCTCCAACAAAAAGAACAAGCTGAGCGATACACTGCCCCTCTGGGATATAACAAGGGGGCACAGGGGTCCAAGCCATAATCAATATTTCTCCAGTATAGTCAGCATCTGTAACACCTGGTAACACAAAGAGGCCTAATTTAGTAGTAGAAGATCGCCCAATCAATAAAGCACGCATGCCATTGCTGATCAGCCCATAGACTCCCATCGGCAGCAGGGATACTTGCGTGTCATTCAGGGTGACTGGGCATGGGACAGCCAGGTCCAAGCTGGCACTTCCCGAGGTTGCTGGCCGCAGCTCGCCAGCCAAACGCCAGGATGTGGATTTCTGTGGTTGTTTGGGATGCTCGGTCTCGCCCCCCAGCTCCTGTTTCCTGAGATGGAAGGAACTGCATGACCGTTAGTATGGTATTTTGAGTGACACTCATTGGCCCAGTGTTTCCCTTTTCCACATCGAGGGCAATCGTGAGGGGGCATAGCCTTTTTGCTGCCCCTTTTTGGACACCCTTGCTTTAAATGCCCAGGGGCACCACACTGATAGCAGCGTATACCCCCTTTTCCTGTTTCTCTCATTTTGAGCTGAGCCCTTGGGGCGCTCACTAAAGCTGTGGCATGATGACCAGTAGATCCAGTATTTTGACAAGCCCGCACTGTATCAGCTAAGGTTGGGTTGCAATTACGATTGGTTGCAAGGCACGCTTACAGTCCTCATTAGCGTTTTCATAAGCTAATTGTCTTCATTAAGACAATAAGCTAATTAGCTTCATAAGCTAATTGAGCTTCATCGTGTTCAATCTGCCACTGTAGGGTGGCCTACAACCAGTCTGTCGAAAGAGGATACGATTCTGTCGGGCCTTGCAATATTTTAGCAAATGACTCAGCTGCACCCTCTCCAGACTCAGGAATTTTCCGAACAGTCCGGAGGGCAGCAGTCTGAATTTGGACATACACCTCCTGGGGATAACTCACTTGTGCAGGAGGAGCCACAAGCGCATTTTCCCCTGCCAACTGATCATAGCCAGCTCCATGACCTTGATTTATTGTAGGTAGTTAGGGTCTGGCGATCGGAAGATGTCGCGCTGTACGGAAAGATAAGACCCCCCTCTGAGTAGCCAATAGGGCCTAGCCTAGGTCGTAAGCAGACGGATGTGACGTTGTAAACCCAGGCTATGTAACGCCGTGTTACTCGCCAATAAATGCCATTTGCCATCCACCACATTGGTGTCCGTGAGCTGATGGCCCGAGCGGCCTGGGATTGGTTGCCGTGCCGTTCCTGAACCAGGTCACCACGCCAACGAAGGCAACAATTTATATTTTCCATGGAGGTGATCACACACTGTTCTTTACAATCATTCTGCCACATCATAAATTGCTTAGAGGTTAACACCATACACAATAAAGCTTTCTAGTCATACAGAGTTAGGATATATGATTCTGCAGTTGCTTCTAATAGAGACATGGCAAAAGGTGAATGGATACCTCTCTGCTTAATTGCCTTACAAATTTCTTTAACTGCTTCATAAGGAAGCTCTTGCCATTCAGGTGGCCTATTGGGTTGATAAATCACATGGCATGCCAAAGCAACTTGCTGGTCACCCTGCTTTATTGCCTCCTTTCTACAAACTTCCCAATTACGTGCTGTGGTTTCCACCGTTACTGGAGCATTCACATCAGGAGATGGAGGGAATAAATCAGGCTCCTTTTCAGGGTCTGTTGGTCCTGGATAAAAAGCATCACTGCCTTCCTCAGAGTTTGGCTCAGGACCCTCTTCATTTTGCAACAAAAAGGGCTGGTCAATGGGAATGGTTTAGGGTTCGCTGGAGGGTGACCTGCTGACTCCAGAGGTGCTGACTCCTGCTGACTCCCGGTGTGACAGGGAAGGAGGACTGCTGTTTATTAGTCTTTAGTGTGGCCACAGTCTGCCACCAAGTCCCAAGGTGCGGTCCTGTACACACATCTGCAGCAACAGCGGCTTGCAATTGTGTCCCTACTGCTTGCCAGGCCGCTATTTGAAGAGCACCTTCTGACAGAAAACCTGGAACATTCTTTTGAATCCATTCTAGCAAAGTCACTAATTTAGGCCCCATCACAGCCCTTTCTTGAACATCTAACCATTTACACAAAGTCTCTATACTGCACTTCTCTGCCTGGGATAGCTTCCCTCCCATGGCTCCCGACTGCTCACCTATCCAGTAGGTGATGGGTGTGCAATCCCTCTGTAGTCCTTGGTTCAGTCGGGGTATCCCACCGGTCCGGACTCCGTAAGCCTCCTATTCAAGTCCCTGTTTGGGCACCATTTGTAGCGTATTAAGGCACAGCCTCCAGCCATGCTGCAATCGGAGAGCTTTACTGAGTGAGCACACAGGCTGTTACAGCAGTTTGTCCAGAGGCTGGTTCCAGCTGTCTTTTCCATAAGGAAAGAACGCTCCTTCTGCACACACTTCTCCAGCCAATGGCCTTACTGATCACACGCCTTTCAGCCAATCATATGACCGTTCACACCCTATTGCTTAAGCAACTATCCAAATTAGGCAAGTGCTTGCTTTAAGCATAAACGTTGTTTTCGCTGCTCCTTCCTGCTACCCGTATGAACATTGTTACTGCCCCATCACCTTGACCGCACACTGTCCCCTTGGCCCACGCGCATGTGCTGCTGAAATTGCGTCGTTTTCACTTTGTTGGTTTACAAACCCGATCCCGATGGTACCTGCACGTTAAAGGGTTCAAAGGAAAGCAGCAGCTCCGCGCTCTGCTGTTGGCTCTGCTAGCGCCCGCTTCACCAGGAGCTGCACTGGCGGACGGGCCTTGCGCTCCCCGCAGAAGAGGGGCGGCGCAGCAGAGCCATGCGCCGGACCCGCGGCACCGGCTGAGTCCCACCCCCGGGGCGGGTCGCGCATGCGCGGGCGCGGGCACCGCCGCTTCCGGGCGGGTGCTGCCGGAGCGGGAACCATGGCGGCTGCAGCGGCGGTGGGGCCCATGAGCCTGCGGGACCTGCTGCTGAGCGCCACGGCCGCCGCCGAGGGGAGCGGCGGTGATGAGGAGGTGTGCGTGGTGGGCATCTTCGGGAAGACGGTGCTGCAGCTGTGCTCGGAGAAGGAGGCCCTGGTGAACACCGTGTGCGACCGGCAGGTCTTCCCCCTCTTCTGTGAGGAGGATGACCCCGACCTGGCGGACGGCGCCCTGGGGGAGGAGGTCGACCCGGCCACCAAGGACTACAACCAGCTGCAGGCCTACTACAGCCAGGAGAACCGGGTGCTATTCCTGGTGCTCACCAGCATCTGTGACACGCGGCAGCTGCTGCGGGCATGCGGGGACCTGGCGGCGGCCGAAAGCAGGGAAACGGGGCCCGGCCATCCCTCCGGTGGCCCTTCCCCACTGTCCCACGCTGAGGCCCACGAGTTCTGGAAGCACCAGGAGAAGCTGCACTGCCTGAGCCTCCTCTACCTCTTCTCTGTCTGCCACATCCTGCTGCTGGTGCACCCTACCTGCTCCTTCGATATCACCTATGACCGCGTCTTCAGGGCGCTGGATGGGCTGCGGCAGAAGGTCCTGCCCTTCATGAAGGCTGCCATCAAAGACTGCCCGATCGGCAAGGAATGGAAGCTCAACTGCAGGCCCTGCCCTCCACGCCTCCTCTTCCTCTTCCAGCTCAATGGAGCCCTCAAGGTGGATCCCCTCCCAAGCAGGGGCCAGGACTCCTGTGGTCACCTGGAAAAGCCACCCCCCAAGAAGCACTCCCCTAAGAGGAGGCTGCAGCATGCTCTGGAGGATCAGATCTACCGCATCTTCCGCAAGAGCAGGGTGTTAACCAACCAGAGCATCAACTGCCTGTTCACTGTGCCTGCTAACCAGGCGTTTGTGTACATTGTGGCTGGTGGGGTCCTGGATGGAGATGATCCGGTGGCCATGCTTCTTGACCAACTCAGGAACAACTGCACCATGAGAGAGACTGACTCGCTGCTGGCTCCCACCCTGTCAGGGCCCAGGAGGTATCAGATGATGCGGCACGGCAGGCAGCAGCTCTCCTTCCATGCAGAGAGCAGCAGCTCCAGCTCCTCTGGGCAGCTTGTGGACTGCACCCTTAAGGAGTTCTTGTGGCAGCACGTGGAGCTGGTGCTCAGCAAGAAAGGGTTCGATGACAGCGTGGGAAGGAACCCACAGCCCTCTCACTTCGAGCTCCCAACCTACCAGAAGTGGGCTGCTGCAGCTTTAAAACTGTATGAAGTGACCATTGAAGGCAAAGATGATGACCAGACCACTGGGGAACTGAGCTCAAAAATCATGGGTAGCATCAAAGTCTTGGAAGGCTATTTAGATCTAGACACCAAATTCTCTGAAAACCGTTGCCAGAAAGCTCTCCCCATGGCCCACAGCGCCTATCAGTCCAATCTGCCCCACAACTACACCATGACAGTCCACAAGAACCAGCTGGCACAGGCCTTGCGTGTGTACAGCCAGCACGCCCGTGGCCCGGCCTTTCATAAGTACGCCATGCAGCTGAATGAGGACTGCTACAAGTTCTGGAGCAACGGGCATCAGCTCTGTGAAGAGCGAAGTTTAACTGACCAACACTGCGTGCATAAGTTCCATCTGCTCCCAAAAGCAGGTAAAGAAGCTCCCTTGGGTTTCATGGTTTAATTTGATATCTGCTTTAAAATATTTTAGGCTGAAAACGCTCACTCTTTCCATGTTTATGGAAGGTGAAAGCTTGGCAGCTTTAAAGTGTCATCTTCTTACAGGGGGATTAATTACAGCAAAGCTGTTGTACAGGTTTCCTTTATGTTGAGTAATCTTTAGGAGGGAGTCCACTGCCAGTAGTAATTTGGATTTTAGTAGTAACTCTGACTCCGTTTCGCTAATTAGAAGCATTATGCTGTAGTTCTCCTAACAGCAGATGTGTAAGATAACAAAAGGTCACTAGTAAGTATAAGTAACCCCCCCTTAAATAGCTTGACTGATACCAGTCAAGGAGTAGAAACTGTCTGATACATATTCATTGTAGGCAGGAGTATTTATGCCTTTTATGAAAAGGCTGTAAAACCAAAGTTCGATTTAATGGTATAACCTACACTGGAACTTTGTATTAGAAGTGAGAAAAGAATGTGTTGCTTGACAAACTGGCATTGCTGGCAAATAATGATGTATATAGCAAGGAGGAAGCAGTGGATGAAGTGACCTAAAGAATCTCTAGAAATTGGGAGCAATTCCCCTGGGGTTTGATTGATTTTGCTTTTAGGGGAAAAGCCAGAAGCAGACAGAAACCCTCCAGTTCTGTACCACAACAGCCGGGCTCGTTCCACTGGTGCCTGTAACTGTGGAAGGAAACAAGCTCCACGGGATGATCCCTTTGATATCAAAGCAGCTAATTATGACTTCTACCAGGTAACTGTTAGGTCCCTATTTTTGCTTCAAGCAATGCTTTTGCTTCATTGACAAAGTCTGTATTCTGAAGTGTCTACAAGTAAGTTTCTCTTAACCTTATCAACTTGTAGATGTTGAATGGGGAAGATATTTCTGGGAGCAGAAGTTGTTTGCATGGTGGGCTGACCAGAGCAGCCAGTTCCAGTCTTCACCAGTGCATGCACACAGGAGCATCTATTTACACTTCAAGTGTGTTGGTTCATGTGAACTTGAAATTCATTGTGTCTGTGGGCTGCATTCCCATCGCTGCTTTGGTTGTCACATAGTGCAAATCTCTTGAATCTTAATTGTAGCTGCTGCATGTTATGACTGAACTCCTACATCTCAGAAGTGGAAGATGGAAAGTTAACCACATTTTCTTTCTCATAGCTGCTGGAAGAAAAATGCTGTGGGAAACTGGAGCACATCAATTTTCCTGTATTCCAGCCAAGCACACCTGATCCTGCGCCTGCTCGGGATGAGTCATCGCCTGCCCCTCCAGAAGGCGAGATTGAGAAACTCAAGGAAAAAGAACCTCAGACTCAGGGGGAAAGCACAGGCCTGAGCTTAGCCCTCAGCCTGGGACAGTCGACGGGCAGCTTGGGCACTTACCCGCCCGATGGCCAGGGTGGAGGGGACAACACAGAAAATCATGGGCAGAGCGGGGACTGCAAAAGTGAGAAAAGGCCGAGTCTGGTCGATCGCCAGGCCTCCACTGTTGAGTACCTCCCTGGGATGCTCCACTCCAATTGCCCCAAAGGCCTTTTGCCCAAGTTCTCCAGCTGGTCACTGGTTAAGCTGGGGCCTGCTAAGGCTTATAACTTCCACACAGGCTTAGACCAACAGGGCTTTATCCCAGGAACAAACTATTTAATGCCTTGGGACATTGTCATCAGGACAAGAACTGAAGATGAAGGGGACTTAGATACCAATTCCTGGCCTGCACCTAACAAGGCTGTTCCTGGAAAAAGAAGCTCGGTTGTGATGGGAAGAGGAAGACGGAGAGATGACATAGCTCGAGCTTTTGTAGGATTTGAATATGAAGATGCCCGTGGAAGGAGGTTCATGTGTTCAGGGCCTGATAAGGTTATGAAAGTGATGGGAGGGGGGCCAAAGGAATCTGCCATCAAAGCCCTCAATTCTGACATGCCACTGTACATCCTGTCCTCAACACAGGGACGGGGACTGAAGCCACATTACGCTCAGTTCATGAGGCTCTTTGTGGTGGTTCCTGATGCTCCACTGCAGATTACACTAACGCCTCAGGTAAGAAATGAAAGAGGGAATCTGGTGAGTGCAGACAAGCTTGATTCGTGCAGCATTAGTTGCAGGACTAGAAAGCGCTAGTATGGTAGGCAAAAGGTGTCAGCAGGGTGCTACAGGAGACTCCTGACTCAAAACCTACTTCAGATGAGTTCTCTAATGTACTAGTCACCAAAAGTAGCTGTTTTATGAACAGTCTAGTTCTTTTTAAACTTCAAGATTGGTCTATAGCAGCTTTATACTTTGTGTAAAGTAAGCCTTAAAAAATACTTTTATCAGGGATGAGTTAATGGCATTCTATACTGTAATAATTGCTTCTTTTAAAAAGGGACAAGTGGCTAATGAATATATCATTTTAAATATCAAGAGAAAAGCAGCCACTCATTGCTGAGATTGATTATTCTTAGTAACCCTTTGAACTTAGGAGGTGAAATGATGTTTGGTTTTTAGTTGGGTTTTGTTTCTAAATATGTATTTAAAAAAAGGAGAAAAAGCTCCACAAGAACCTGCTTTGCTGTGGAATTTAAAGGTAGAATACTGACTGCAGCACCAGCATTTCAATGCCATTTGCAGTTTATCATGTTATTGTTTGAAACTGAGGCAAGCATTGAAGGTTCAGTTTGTGCTGATACTTTGCTCTTCATTCCCAACTTACATCTGTAGGGCAGCTTTTGACTTCTAAGGGAGTGTTTTTATTATGAATATCTGTGATGCTATGTGGTGTAGCTTGCACACATCAGTTTCTCGTGTGAATAAGATTTTCTGAAGCTTTTAATGTGAATTATACAAAGGCCCTATTAAATGTTGCTGAAACCCTTGAAAATTCCCATTGGTTTAGAGGGAGGTAACAGCTCAGGGATGGGTAACTGTGGTGCAGTATTGAAATCCAACGCTAATGCCCTAAGGGGTGAACGGCGTGTGTTTGTATTGGGGATCTCTTTGGTAGGGTGTAATCTGCAGCCTTAAATTCGACATCTTTGCTGTGGTAAAACTGGAAATGGAGTCTCACAATAACGGCACAATGGTTTCCTGGAGTACTATTTGTTGCTTTGTTTGCCTTTTTTGTTTTAATTCTAATGATGTTTCATTATCTGCTCATGCTTCCTTTCATTTCAGGTTCAACCAGGGCCGCCACCTTGCCCTGTGTTCTACCCTGAGAAGCAGGAGATAACCCTCCCCTCTGACGGACTGTGGGTTCTGAGGTTTCCTTATGCGTACGTTACAGAACGTGGCCCCTGCTTTCCTCCCAAGGAAAGCCAACAACTAATGAGTTACAAAGTTCTCAGAGGAATACTGAAAGCGGTTACACCATAGCAGTTATTCTGGTGGATTGAGTTTTGTTTGAAAAGACTGTCTTCAACCCAAATGGATTTTGATTCATGTCTGTTACCTAACAGCTATCCCTGCAATCTTGTGAGGGCTGCTGTATTTTGCTGGAACACAGTTGATTGTAACTAAGGTCTGGTTTCATGGCAGAGGAAGGAATCAGGTGCATGGGAATTTTCCATTTATTAAATTTTCGTATGTAAAAAAATAAAAGCTGGTTGGCAATGTGCTGAGCCTGTACTACCACATGTTTTGAGAATTGTGCTTTTCTCCATCCTGTCCTTCTAGACACACAGTTAGGAATATATAAGAATTAGCATTGCCTGAAATGAAGTTTCCTTTGTCGTACTGAGCCAATAATGTGCTGAATCTTTCATCTTTTCCTAAACGAGCTATTTCTGTGTAAACAATAGATGCTTTTAATGTGGGTTGCCTTTTTTCTTGTCTTAAATTAGAGGGATTTCAGTTCTGATTTGTATTAATACCAAAGTCAGAGACTGGGCTTACCAGTGAGATAAGGTGAGATATTTTACTGTATTTATATTCACAGGTCAGATTTTGTTAAAAGGCCAACTTAATTTAGTATTTTGGAATGTCAGATCTCTTTGGAAACTAAACCTGCTGGTATGGAATTATGGAAAACATAGAGCTTGTTCCTTGTAAGCAGCCGCAGCTTAATTGTCAGTGAGTGTAGCGTGACTTGCAGTGATTAAACAGACTTCTTGCGAAAGGACAGCTTTGGCCTGGTTTGAATCTCAGATTGAGGGAGTTTGGTTTCCAGATGGGCTGCAGGATGGGCTGAGGTGGCTGAAACCCCCTGAGCTTTGCATGTGACTGTCGGTGCCAAAACATTAATCATGGTCAATCAACTTCTAGTTGAGGTAAGGTGCATTAGTGCCAGTGGCTGCAGATGGAGGCCTAACTGAATTTCTAGAATCTTTTTAATTAGCATGCATATAGAATTTAATTTGCTGTAATACAGTAATTATACTGCATGACCAGAGCTGAGACCTGCTCTCTGTTCAGTACATCTCTAATCAGCTGGGTGTGGAAAACGCAGTCGTGTTATTAGTGAAGCCAACGGTACCTCATGATACTCCTCACGAGTTCGGGGTTACCACGCACTGCGCGGTGCTCAAGCGCTAAGATGAGAAGCACTGCAGAGAACGGTTACCTCTGACAGACGCGGCCATGCTACAGGGAAAGCGAGACGGGGAATTAACGCGTGCAGCTGGAAATGGCCGGCGGCGTTTGCTGACCGCTTCTCCCAGCCCAACGCGTGACAGCGGCCGAGGGCCCTACCGCGCCCCACCCGCCTCAGCCCGGCGCCGAGCAGCCGACGGGCAGGGCAGGGGTCCCCGCGCCTGCGCACTGGGGGCGGTGGTGCGGCTGCGCGGCAGCGGCGGAGCCTCGCTGAGAGCGGAGCGAGCCGGGCCGGTAGCGGGACGCAGCCGGCTAGAGGCGCAAGATGTCTGCGGCGCTGTACGTGCTCTCCACGCTGGGCGGATACGTCCTCACCTCGGCTCTGCTCCTCAAGTGTCCGGGGCTGCTCCACCGGCCCAAGCGGCAGCGCTTCCGTTGCCGGCACATCTCCCACCGCGGCGGTGAGTGACGGGATGCCGGGGGGTGGGGGGGTGTCTGCCCGCTGCGGCCCCGGGTCGCCGCTTCCCGCCCTCCCCTCAGGTGGGCTGGAGGCTGAGGGGCTCCCGCGGCTCCCCGCTGCCTCAGGGCGGGCGCTCCGGAGCCCTGCGGAGAGTGCTGGAGGGCCCCTGGGCGCTGCCCGCCGCTCGCAGCGGGCTCCCTTCAGACCTTCCTCCCGCAGCCTAATTTTAGGAGCCACCTGCTGACCAGTGCTTGATTTCAGAGCTGAATCGATCTGCGAGCTCGGAACGCGTCAGCCGAAAACTGCTGCTGTTACGTGGGTCTCAAGCGTACATATTATTTGCTTTAATGATTCTGAGCTATGGCATTTCTCCTAATGAGAGAGGTGACTGACTGTTGCTTAAACCAGGTACCGAAGGTCAATATTCTTGCCTCTAAACGCTATTTGCTTTGCTTTCTGATTTCAGAAGAAACGCAATTTTCCATGACTTTGTTCTTGCTCCCCTTGCAGTTGGAGACAGTTTAAATGGTTCACTGCTGTGGTGAAACCGATCCCATTTTGAGATTTTTGGCTCCCCCATACACCTTGTGCCAAGGCCTTGTGGGTGGGCTGCTTGCATCTGTCTAAAACGAAAAGATGGTTTTAAATTTTTTTCTACCTTTTCCTAAGTATTGGGAGGAAAAAAGTACAGGAAACTGTATTTTCCTGGCCTGTGAAGATCAGTTCTGTGCTTTCCCCATCTGCCGTGTTTAGTTCATGAAAAGTCACTTTTCTAGTAAACATGGGAGATATGTCAGGTGCCAAGTTTAACCAGTTTTCAGTGTCATATCTCATGCTGTGTTTGATCACGTTTGTAGCCAATGGTCCTCAACTGCTGCCTTGAATTATCAAAATACGAAAGCTACAGCTTCTCACAGATTTTATTGCTCACATTTATTTTGTTTATACATCAAATTTTGTTGTAACTCTAGTTTTTAAGTATAGCATAAAATGCACCTTTTACTTTGGGGTGCATATATTAACAGTTTCCTGGTATTTTTTCATTTCATGAGCAAAGGTTCTCAGTTTTTATTGTTACCTGTTTGTCTGTTAATTTGCCAGCTGTTTACGAACTTGCAGACGGTTTTGGAGCTTGCTTTTCCTTCCACTTCTTTGCATTGACATTAGTTAAGGTAATACAGCCCTGAGCCTGAAGAGGAAGTGTTTTGACTAGTTGCACTAAGCACCATTAGAACAACAGGAAAGCCTTACTCAATAGGAGGATTATTCATTATGTGTTCAGAGACAAAGTCCACAGCCTTTGAGTTGTTCTGTGCCTGCGTAGTGTGAAATACACCTGTGGTGGAGGTACAGCCCTTAGCATTTGTTGGGTACTGTGAGACGGAAGATCACTTACCCTCTGCTCTCTGTAGTGTTTACCTTGTAACTTAGATTTCTGTGGGGCTTAAGTTGTCATCGAGCTTTAGTCATGCTGTAGCTTTAGACGCAGTGTGAGGTTGCCTATTGCATTACTCCTGTTAACTTAATAGATCAAGGTGACGCTTAACTTGTTTAGCTTTTTCTGTTCTGAAGTTTAAGTCTGTGGGTTTTGATTTCGCTTCTTCCTTCACACAGGAATGTTCTTATGTTGGTTTATAGCTCATCAGTTCAAGCATCCCTGAATTATTTCTTCACTTCTCTATAATTTTAAAATTAGTCACTTCTGAGAACAGTAATGAGGTCTTGATGTTCTGTGTTAAGAGTCCTCTGCCAGTGCTGGCTTCATGGATTGGGTTACAGGGTCTTTGAGGCAAGGTAGCATGATGATTTTTACAGAATCACAGAAGAGCTGATATTAGAAGGGACTTCTGGGGATCATCTCGTCTGACCAGACCAGACCAAGGGTGACTACAGCAGGTTGTTCACAACCTTGTCAAGTTAGGTTTTGAATACATCCAAGGATGGAAGCTCCACAGCCTCTCCGGGCATCCTATTCCAGAGTTTGATCACATCACTCTTGCAATAAAAAAGGTTTTTTCTTATGTTTATAAACCATGTTTCCTGTATTTCAGTTTGCTCCTGTTGCCTGTTGTCCTTTCCCTGGGCACCATGGAGGAAAGTCTGGCACAGTCTTCTTTATTTCCTCCCATCTAGTATTTATACACATGGGTAATATCCTCCAAAGCTTCTCTTCTCCAGGCTCAACAATTCCAGCGCTCTCAGCCTCTCACTGTTATGCAGGAATCTTTTATTCCTTAATTTTCACAGCATCTCTTATTTTCTATGGACTTGTACAAGTAGATCCGTGTCTGACTTGTACTTTGGAGCCCAGAACTGGGCGTGTCATTCTAGATGTGATTTCACTGGTGCTGAGTAGAGGACAACAGTCACCTCCCTTGACCTGCTGGAAGTATTCTTCCTAACAGCCTGTTTTGCTTACATCAAGGGGAAGAGCCCTCCTTGAGTTGGTGCTTGACATTGACTCCATCTTGTCCCACGGTAGTGCTTTCAAAGTTAGAATATATAATTGTATTTTTTTAACATTACATTTTGGCTCATAGGATGCTGAAGTTTGCTGGGGAAGGTGATTTCTGTGTGGGAAATACAACAACGTAAGTGGATGAGACATGGTTCTGGAGGTGCATTTAAGTACCTGTCAGAAGCCCTTTGGTCAGCCCAGCCTTTTCATTTTTAAGGAGGAAAAATGATTTAACACATCAAATCACTCGCTTCTCTTAGTTCCCTTTTCTGAGTGTGGCTTGTGGAAGCCGTGTTGCTAACCTAGAATTCCTATTTCATCTGATCTCTCAACTTTTTTCCTCATTTTCACAGAACTCTACAAGTCAGGCTTTTTGTTACCAACTGGTTTGATTTGCCATACCCACCTCCCTAACATGTGACTTGTCAAATGAGTCACTTTTAAGTTGTATTTTTGGGACTTTCTGGCCAGGAATGTTAGGATACTGTTGGTTTGTTCACAAATTGAAGGCTGACTCAAGATTTTTTCCCCTCTCTTACCATGCAGGATACATGGGCTGAGTTGTCACAATTGATAAGTTATCTAAAACCTTAATTTTTATTGCCGTTAACTTGTAACTGACCATCCAAGTCCTGTGCAGGTTTCCCCCATCTGTTAGGCAATCGTCAAAGTATACAACAAGATTCTCATGCTCTGCCCAGTCACTTTTGCCATTTGGCTTATTCCCAGTTCTGCCCTCAAATTCCATAAAATATTAGTGAATGCCTGATCACAGAAGCTGCTGTGGATTTACTGTATCCGTTCATGATAAACAACACAGACTGTGTCATTATAAGTCAGTTAAGTCTTTTGTTGTCTGAACTTGCCAATGAAAGCTCACCTGATAATAACAATATTAAATTGCTAGCTGTGCCTGCATAGAATTGCATCGCTTTCATTAAGTAACTAAGCACAGACTTGTGTAAGGATGTACTGATGAGGCCTCATTAATAGGCAAAGCCTTAATTGGGGCTTTTATAATTGTTGTTTACAAAGTCTGTCATTCATCACTGTCAATGAGTAGTTAAAATTTGCATCAATATCCTGATTGGTACGTGGATCTTCCTGAAGCTGGAATTCAGTCTATACTACTGCCAGTTTTTTGAGGGAGGAAGAACGCACAAACAAGCTTTTCCACTCCCTAACCAGGCTGACTTTCAAAGATTTTTATGTTGAGAATTATGGCTTAAAGAGTTTACTCCTGCCTGAGAGAAAATGCTTGTGCCTTCATTTCTTAACTGCAGTTGATGTGTGTTTCATTTTTTGTGTACAAGGCCTCCTTTTTCCAGCAGCACAAGCCGTCACTGACAGATTTGTGCTGTTTCAAGATGTATTCTTGCACTGAGAAAGGAGGTTGGTGCCTCTTTGAGCATCAACTGGGTCACATGTTTAGGGAATATCAGCTTTAAAGAGTCTTGGGCACTTTTTTCTTTCCCTTTTGTTTTGGTTTGGTATTTCTTTCTTTCTTTCCTTGTGTTACTTCAGAGTTAGTGGGAGTAGATATTTTGCATATATTGTCGCTATGCTTGAGCATATTGTTATAGCCAGATACAGTGCCTTTAAGGAAAAACAGTATCCAACCTCTGGTAAAACAAGCCAAGACACATCTTGTTAGACAAAATCCAAGATAACAGTATTCTCCCCCTTCCCTTCCAGAAGTTCTGTCTCTTGGGTCTCCTCAGTAAGTCAGTGACAACAAGGATTTCTGACTCTAGCTTCATACTGCCTCCAAATATTTCTTCAAAATATACATATTTTATTTATTATTTTTTAAAAAATTATGTATTTGCACTGGGATTGAGGGAAGGAAAAGGAATTTTCACATGGTTTGGTTTTTGTTACTTTTGTAGGTGCTGGCGAAAACCTGGAAAACACAATGGCAGCCTTTCACCAGTGAGTACAAATGGAACTAATAATGCCTAAGTCAGCGGTGTTATCCCTGTTTGCAATGAGTGAAGCAATCAATGAAGATATAACTTCATCAGTTGTTTGGGGCGCAGTGTCCTCCTCCTGAAAGTCATCTCCCCTTTGGGTGACTTCTGTGGATTGCTAAACATCACTCCACTTTAAACCGGAAGGAATTGGGATATCACAAACTGAGTTGTACCCGATAATGTGGTAGACTGGCTGTTCGAAATAAAATCCCTGAGGCCTGATTCCTCCCGTGTTAAATAAAACATGAAGCAATACTGCTTCCATGTTTAATGGTGATTACTTCTATTAATTTATGTATCATTATAAAGTTATTTTTTGTAACCAATAGCTGTTTCTCCTAGATGCATTCATGTTTAGTGTATTAGCTAATTAGCATACAAGGCTGGATTTCAGGAAGTCTGAATCTGTTGACTGCTGTTATGGCTGTAAAAAATCCTCTGTAAATCTATTAAAAATGTTTGTGCTACGGTTTTTCCCTTTAAACATATGTGAAGTGAAAACCTTTTATCTAGGGTTTAAAATGGAGCCTTGTGCTTTTTAAGTCCCCAGAGTTTAAGTAGTGAATTCTAGCAAGGTTTTCAAAGGCATTTCGAAAGGAAACATATCTAAAACTCTAGCTGCCAGTGAGAAGTGACCAAATTACTTAGGCTTCTTTTCGTTTTGATTCTTTTGGGCTTTTTTTAAATTTGCTTTTTGCTAAGTAGCCTCATCAGTTTGCACATTTCCTTGCAGGCTGAGGAGTGCCAGCTTTCCCAACTAAGCAGTGCTATTGAAAGCACTGCAGTATTTTCTATCTCCATGGAAGCTTAGCATACTTTTGTGGTTTGGTTTGTTGGGTTTTATTTCCTGCTGATCTGCCTTTTCTCAAGTCTGCTGCTATGTTTTCTGAAAGTGTGTTTTTTTCTGTTTCTGCTTTTTAACCGTTTCTTAATTTTCATTTAGTATCATGCTGGTTTTAAATGTATGGGGCTCTTGCAAAGTGAGTTACACCATAACTTATTTTTGTCTCATTCCCAGAATTGAGCTGTAGTATTTGGGGTAAGGACTGTGCTAGGAGTCAGATAATGTTTTGTGGTAATACAGACATTTGTCTGACTCTCCTCTGACCATTCTAATTATTTATAATTATTACAGTGGTAACAAATGTGTTGAGGTCTGCTTTTTGAACTCATCACAACTGCTGATGTCAAAGTTCAGTTACTTTGAGATTGACTGTATAAAGGCGTTGTACTCCTGCAGAAAGCAGAGTCAGAGCAATTACTGCATTAGGCAGTAGAAAGTCTTCTGGCTTCCTCTTGTCAAGGGGTAAAGGCTTTGCCCTTCCTATCTGTTCATTCCTGTCTCCACTGGTAAGCTACCAAAAGGAACTTGGAAGAAAATTGGTGATCTGCGTGGTGAAAAATTAACCTAGATTGGCTCAGACGTCTCATATGAGCTAATCCATCATTTTTATGCATCAGATTTTGCATGAAGCCTGCAAGAGCTGTTTCTGCAGGTTTGGACACACAGCCATGTTTGACTGGTGATGTAGTTGAATCCAAAAGAGGATGCTTGTCTGCAGCATAAGACCTACCCCCTTGGTTCTGTCTTATTGAGAGTAACCTAAGTGTTGACAAGCAGATAGTTTTATTTATACTATTTATTCTTTAACAGCAATTGGGGAATATTTAATACTGTTGCATGACAATGAAAAAATTATTATAGTAGTACATAAAGCATATGAAAGGAGAGGCCTTAGTGGTAATTTCAACCACTAAGTAGCTTAATTTATAAATATTCTGGAAAGCAATTATAAGATTTTTGTACCAAAGACAGTACTTCTTTGCTTTTGCATGGTAAAGGGACTAATAGATGTTTTTTGGGGGGCTGTAATCATGTTATATTGCATTTAAATGCTGCTGTGGTGGGTTTGGATTTTAAAATAACTGATCTTAAGCTAAGAGAGACACTTTGTGTCTTAAAGTATTTGGGGATCTGGCATAAAAGATGTCATAAGGATTTAATTACTAGTTCAATAGTCTGTAATAGAGCCGTGTACTTTAGCATTGTCTTGACAGGAAGCTGCTAAGCAAACTCTCCAGGTATTTTATTACTGTATTTCCTTTTCTTTTATGAACATACTTTAGAGAGAAAGCTTTCAACACTGTAGATACAGGAATAAAAGCATGAGATCAACTTAGTATTTATAAAGTCTATACATTGTGCTATATTAGGCATTGCCTAGTGGAATTTAATTTGCAAAGTAAGGCTTTTCTTAGGTAGTTTCTGGTATGTCATTTTACTTGAAAACAGTTGGAGTTAAAACACAAGCGCAAAGAGCTCAATCATCTCAATTTGCAAATGGGAGTCTGCCTCACCCCTTTTGTTCTGGAGCAGTTGGATCTGAATCCAGCACATTCTTCTGAATCTGGAGAGATCTGTAGTCTTCTCTGGAGTCCTGTACATTGATGTGTTATTACAGAGCTGCAGAACAAACTGATTTCCAGCTGAAAAGACTCGGCACTTTAAGGGAGCTTATTTAGCAGCAAGCTGCTAGTAAGAGCCTGGCAAATTCCCAGATTTGTTAACAAGGAAAGTTGTTGTTCTCATTTTTCCATGTAGCATCACTCCTGAATTTCTTAAGCAGTAATATTTCTAGTAAATTTGGCTGGTTAATTAATAATACATGGTACTAGCTGGGAACATCTACAGATTTGGCAGATCTCCTGCAGTGTGTTTGGAGATGCTGTTCCTCAGGAGGCAAAATTACATGGAACAGGCTGTGTATCTTTCATGTGTAATAGGATTTTGTTCCTCTCCTAATTCTTAATTAGTGGCACTGGAAAACAGTTAATAAATTGGTTTTAATTTGACAACTGTCTTCTTGGTCATTATCCCAGCTGGACCAGAAATTGTGTTAAACACTTAAAGCAGTATGTTCAATTTTATTGTTTTTTTGTTTTGCTTTGTTACTGCATTTGTGAATGTTTGGGGCACATCTGTACTTAAGGAAAAGGCTGCTAGTGAAGTCACAGAGCTTTGGGTCTTGTACGGACTGTATTCTCAGATGTTACAGGTTTGTTCATAGGTGATTAAAAAGGAATAGCCTGGTGATTAAAAAGGAATAGCCTGGTGTTTTGAGGGAAGTGTTCATGCGTCAGATCAGGACTTTCAGCTGTCTGCTGGGACCTTCTGAGTATCTTTTCTAAGGAAATGAGCAATTCACTTCTTGTTAGTTCTTCTCTAGTGTGAGGTTTCCTGTACTTACTTTTCATCAATATTATTACTGCTTTCTGCTTTCTTTATGCTTGTGAGCTAAGCTTTGATAGAGTGGATTTGGAATTGGATTAGAACTCTTTAAAGCAGCAGATTGTAACAGGAATAGGTTGTTTTTTTTCTTTGAAAAATATGACTGGCTTCTAGTGGTTTGCAATTTTTTTAAATTTAATATTACAAATTTTTCATTAAAATAATAAATTTTCTTAAATGTCATTTTGCCAGCCAAAATCCCCATTGCTAATTTCTGGATTAATTTAAATCAAGTGAAAAAGGGCTTTCACATCCCTGTCACTTGTTGTCTGTGCTTCCCACAAAATTGATTATGGTTTTTTTAAGAGCTGTCTTCTTCCAGTGGTCCTAATAAACATCACTCAAAATTACTTTAGAAGTCAGTTTCTGAATCCTGAGGTGGTAAGCTGCACTCAACAGCTACTTGATTTCCATGGAAGATGAAGCCAAACCTTAAATTCTGTTTCTGATTCATGATACCTTGTTTGTTCTTGCATCAGCTTTCTCACTGCAGCAGTTACTTGCTTCTCACTTTGTAGCAAGATGGTGAGGAATCATTGCATCATAAAGCATCCAAAGTAATTCCAGTGGGATTAGTTTAGTTGAATAACATGTATGTGTTAGGTTTGGGTCTTTACCAAATACATGTATGGTTCAAGGCAGGCTTCTTTGCTTCCAGTGCGGTTAATATAGGAACAGACATGTTGGAGCTGGATTGTCACCTGACAAAAGACGAGCAAGTGGTTGTGTCCCATGATGAGAACTTGAAGCGATCAACAGGAGTTGATGTCAACATATCTGATCTCAAATACTCTGTAAGTCGAGGGAAAAAATGGTAATGCTAGATGGTATTTAAAAATGCGTGGAGTGACTGGGGTGGCAGGAAGCTCGTGTGCATGTATGTCTAATATCCAAAATCTGAGAGGTTTCATCTTGTCTTCCTGAAAGAACAAGTTAACTCGGCTCCATGTGTAGTTGGAGGATCACACCCAGCACATTTCCAGAGGGTAACTCCTTCCAGGAGCAGGCTGAAGACCTGTCTGGAGATAGACCTGCTTTGCCATACTGATGGCAAAGGCAGCTTAATCAACAAGCTCCTTTTCATGTGACCAGCTTTTTAGTGGGACAGTGGGCAGGTGAATCCCACCTGCATCTACTGTTTTAAAAGTCTGTTTTACAGAACTGTCTTTCCATCTGATACTGAAATGGAATTATCAGAATTTTCAGACAAGTATCTGGAAATGTTTTGACTTATTCAGCTACAGGTAGCACAAGTCTAAGAATGCCAAATAGTTCAGGTAAGAATAAACACAGTAATAAAATAAATTACTTTGTGGGCAAGAAGATTTTCAAAAAGTTTTGTCTTTAAAAGTAACTTACATGGCTTATGAATATTTTATTTTGTCTTTTTCAAAAAAATGGATGATTATATTCCTACATTTGAATTAGTGTTTCATTTTCCTTTATTTTTAAGGAACTGCCACCGTATCTCTGCAAGCTGGATGTCACCTTTCAGAAAGGTAAGTGTTTGTCTCCTACTGTTTCAGTTTGCAGTAACTAAGTTTCCATTATTGTAGTGTGGCAATTTCAAATCGGCAAAGGGAAAAGAGGATTTGCTTCTCTCAGTATCTTGAGAAGTTTTAAAGGGAAAATACAGTCCTAGGTTTAGAAACCAAAATAGATTTTTTTTCCCGCATCACTTGGCAGTGATGAAGTTTAAGATGTCATATATCTTTTCCAAGTAAACATTTCAGTTGTTTGCTTGTCTACTTCTTGCAACTGCTTTCTAGTTTCCTTGTGAGTTCTCCAGAAGGTGCTGATTGAAAATTTGTTGTTCTGAAAAATGAAGAGAAGGTAGAAGAGAGTTTCTTTACCATATAAGTGTCATTGTGCTGGTGCACTCTGGGCCTGAAGTACTGCAAGATGTCAAATACAGATGTCTTCAGAAGATAAATGAAAAGAGCAGTAGTTACTGTATGTACGACAAAGTTCACTACCAGTATTGCTGCAAGAGAAGAAAACGTATTAAAAAACATAACCTCTTTTCTTCTGAGAACCGATTTGTGGGATTGTAATTTGAATGAAGCACACAGGCTAAAATTGAGAATGTTGCCATCTAGAAAAGGCTACTGAGATGGTAGCAAGTGTGTTTGCTTGAGGGAGTTTGTGACTGTCTTGTATAACCTTTCCAGATTTCAGTTGCCCAGCAAGCAAATTTAGTGTTAAACTTTTCTGTTCAAAATTGCTAAATACTTAAATACAAAGAAATGGCAAGAGCCTTCAGGTAATTTGTTAGAGCCATAAGCAGTTTCATACAATAAAGTTTGGGGGTTTTGCCTTCTCTTCCCTTTACTCATGGTGCTTATCCAGTAAATTTTCCTAGAAGTTTTTGTCATTTTGTCGCATTCCATATTCATCTCATTGCACTTGGTATGTGGTAACTGAGCCCATGTTTGCTGTTTCAGGATTTTAACGATGCCTGCACACCTACTGTTGCTAAATAATGAATTTCACGAAGTTAAAACCTATATGTACAGTGTGCTCAGGGCATTTTCATTATAAAAATGAGCTTGTCATAAGAATTACAGCCGAGTGAGTAAATTCCTTTTTTTTTAATAGTTTAAAAACGTGCTAAATCTGAGAACTATATACTTTTTCAAATGTTAAGATAACGAGTGCTCTGACATCTCAGCTTTTATCTGCAGTATATTAAAAATGGCCACAGCAGTGACAACTTTCTTGTTTTCCCAGAATGTCACTGTGAGGGAAAAGATAACCGTATTCCACTCCTGAAAGAGGTGTTTGAGGCATTTCCACAGACTCCTGTCAACATTGACATCAAAGTGAACAACAATGTATTGATCAAAAAGGTACATGAAAATCCACACTGAACTGAGACTGAGTGTCATGTAACGACGTTGAAATTCCAAAGAAGTTTCTTAGTTTCTTGGATTAATGGCAGTCTGTGCTTTTGGGCTGCTTCATCCTTCATGTGTTAGATCTTGCTCCATGTATGAAGTGATCTCATGTAAGATATCCAACAAACAGCTCTTTACTGACCCTTTATATTGACATGAAACTGATGCTACACTGCTAGAGACACATTTGGCTTGTACTTCATGTGAAGGGTCTTGCTTGCCGCAGGAGCATAAAACCACAGTGTCAGTGTAAAGATAAATGCTCATCACAGAAAAGGAGATCTGCTTTCCATCAGATGCTATTTTGCCATTGAGTTTCCTTAAGTTCTCTAGGGGCCTTTTTGTAGTGCCCTGGCTGCATTTGAGGTAGAGTTAGTCTTCTTCCTGCTACAGTGCCGTGTTTTAGCTTTAGTATGAGAATAGTGTTGATAACACACCAATGATTTAGTTGTTGCTAAGAAGTGCTTACCTGAAGTCAAGAACTTTGTTGTTTCTCGTGCTCTGTCAGTGAGTAGGGGCACAAGAAGGCAGGAGAGAGCACAGCCAGGACACCTGACCTGAATTAGCCAAAGGGGTATTCCATACCACAGCACGTCATGCCCAGTATAGAAACTTGAGGGGAGGGTTTAGGCTGAGAAAGTTGGGGCTGTTCAGCCTGGAGAAGAGAAGGCTGGTTGGAGACCTCAGCAGCCTTCCAGTATCTGGACTATAAGGATACTGGGGAGGGACTCTTCATTAGGGACTGTAGTGATAGGACAAGGGGTAATGGGTTAAAACTTAAACAGAGGAAGTTTATATTGGATATAAGGAGGAAATTCTTTCCTGTAAGGGTGGTGAGGCACTGGAATGGGTTGCCCAGGGAGGTTGTGAATGCTCCATCCCTGGCAGTGTTCAAGGCCAGGTTGGACGAGGCCTTGGATGATATGGTTTAGTGCGAGGTGTCCCTGCCCATGGCGGAGGGATTGGAACTGGATGATCTTAAGGTCCTTTCCAATGATTGGGTGGGAGCCACTGATCACTGTTCGGGGGCATGCTGGGTGGTGAGCATGCTGGTCAGCGGGTGGTGAGCAGTTGTAGTATGTATCTACATACAAACAAAACCCCATTTTCTCTTGGGGTTTATTCTTCTGTCTTTATTTGTTATGGTTTACATCAAATACTGAACTGTTCTCTCAACCAAGATTCTTTTGCCTTTTATTCTGGTTCTCCTCCCCATCCCACTGGGGTACTAAGGGGAGTGAGTGAGCAACTGTGTGGTACTTAGCTGCTGGTGAGGGTTAAACCATGACATTTAGGTATAATGGTCTTTCCTTTTATCCACTGACCTGATCATTTGTTTCTTTCCAATCAAAGCAGCACAGTCCTCTTAAGATGGGAAAAGGTATAGAAGAACTATCGTTAATGATTTGCATAGTTGCAAAGTAGGAAGTAGAGTTTCCATTAAGTAATGCTGCACATAATTTCAGTGAATACATCTGAGGGTTCTGCTTTCTTACGTTGCAGGTTTCTGAGCTGGTGAGTCAGTATAAGCGAGAGCATTTGACAGTATGGGGGAATGTCAATTACGAGGTTGTATCAAAGTGTCTTAAGGAGGTAAGACCGGGTCCAGCTAAGCGTCGTTCTTGCTTTCTTGTTACTGTGTGGTGACAAAATGTACAGCAAAGCACCCTGTAAATCAATATGTAGTCAGCTATGCCCGACTTTCTAGATGTGATGGGAAATTTTGTGCTTAGATATATTCTGCTTACTGTTCTGTTAGGATAAATCAAACACAGTTAACATCCATATTAAGCTTAATTATGTTTTATTCTTGTTCTGTAAGATATAGGGAGGCATGATTTTATGCCAAGAGCTGTTACAGACTGGTTTGCACATCATTCATCTGCTACAAAAGCAGTTTTTCTAAGGTTTGCTTATTGTCTGTTTCTTTTTATGAAAATAATGGATATGGCCCCTAGCTGACACACAGTTACATTGGTATAAAGCTGGCTTACAACTGTAGTTGTTATTTCTTTATGGTTTATTTCTTTTATTCCTTCTTTGAGGAATAGTACCATTTAGAATTAAAGCTTTGTTTAGTCCAAAGAAGTTCTGCACCTGAGTGGAGCTGATCTAGTTGAGGGTATGGATGTTGTTCTAATTTATCTATTCAGGACAACACACCATTTCTTACCTGAAAAGCACTTATATTTGTTCATTTTTGTAACATCAATACCCAGATATTTTAGTTCATAAACCAGCATCTTTAAAATGTGTTGTGATGCAAGTTGATGTGACATCAAACTGTAACAAGTCCTGTGCTAAAGCACATCTTCTTCTTTGTGATAATACTTGTCTGACAGAGAACGTGTAGTGTTGTGCAGTCTGGAAAGATGATGAAGGCAGGTAACAAATGCAGTACTGCAGCCAGTGAAACTTTGCCTTTTCAGGTCCCTGTTGCTCCTTCAAACTGCATAAAACTGTTGCTTGGATTACAGGTTACAAGGAAGAGTAATTTAAATTCAGTGCAAGCATGTCATAAACAGTTGGCAGCTTAATCTTTAGGTGCAAGTGCTAAACTTTAAATGTGTACTGTTGAATAAATTTAATTGTAACATACTCAATTATCTACCAAGGTAATTTAGAATCTTGCTTTTGCGGTTCCTGCAGAACGCTGATATTCCCATCGTCTTCTGTTTGCAACGTGTCCTCCTGCTTCTTGGCCTGTTCTACACTGGTCTGCTGCCATTCATTCCTTTCAAGGAAGAATTCTTGGAGATTCCCATGCCTTCAATCATCCTCAAGTGAGTTTGAGTCTGTTGGTGGGTGCTGCACTGAAATGATAGTAAAGCAAGTGAATGATGATGCCACCTTGAACATTGGTTTAGTCAGCATCCTTGGACTGAGGAGACTCTTTTGTTAATTTAGGCACTTCTGTATATTCCTCAGAGAAAGCTGTGGAACCCTCCTCCTCTGTAGTTAACCTGTCTCTGTCCAGCTCCAGGTTACTCACTTGTTCATGTGAGGGACCTGTGTGTACCAGTGTTGCATGTTTACAGCATTTCCTGTGAATACTGCCTTCACACAGATACCTTTACAACTTGCCATCTAGATAGTAATATGGAGCAGTTCCATACAAATAACTAATTCTTGCACTTTTCTCCCTCTTTGTTGAGAACAAATTAGTCTGATTAAGGCCAAGAGGCAAGTCATTAGTAAGGTAAATGCAAGTTTTCACATGCTCTTTTTTTATCATACTGTACTAAAAATGCTGCTGAATACCCGTCTCTGCTGCTTCTCTTAAATGTGGTGCATTTCTCTTGTGTAACCCAATTCTAAGTCACTGTCGTAGTGAAATTGCTGTTCTAATTTGAGAAACTGCAAGATTAATTCTTCATGTTCCTTTTGCAGGAGCATCTTAATATTTTAAACTGTGCCCTGGTAATCTTTTGTTTTCTCTTCCTCAACAGGCTGAAAGAACCACAGAAGGTGACAAGAAGCCAGAAATTTATTATCTGGCTAGCTGACACGTAAGATTTTATCTGATTGCATTTTCTATTTGCCTATGTTTTAACAGTTGGCTCAAGCAACCAAGACTATTGCTATAGCTACTTGTGTTGGAATTTAATTATTTATTTTATCAGTTTCCTCTAGCTTTTTTGTCAGTACAGAATAAATCATACCCAAATCTTATGTGGGCGTTCCTGTATGCTTTTATTTTTCATAAACTGAAACATACTGATGTGCAGTAAGTGGTCATTATTCCAATTTAGTCTATTTCGTTTGCCATTAACTGTGGTCAGCTAATTAGCATGCAAGTAGATTCAGAATGCAGCTTTCATGTTTCATGGGACTGTGACTGTTTCATAATGTTGTTAGAGGAGATGCTGTTTGGCTCACATGGAACACTTTGGATTTGAAGAATATCCATGCTTCAGAGGCAACTTAATAACACACTCTGAATGTGATTGCAGTTAGTTTCTCCTGGCTCTTCTGTGTCTGACATCTGTCAGCTTGATTTCCTAAGTGGCCAGTAGAGTTAAAATCTCTTCTGAAGCAAAGGGATTAATTAATCAGACATGGTGCAGGGTACATGTACAATGAAGGAGTCTGCTGGATTTGATCTGCAGAAAAGTTGATACAAATATCCATAGCTAATGCAGATTTCTGGGTACTGTGTTAATCAGTCTTGAGTTGCTTGAGCTAAAGGTTTTCTATAATTAGGTTTCTAATCTCTTTTGGAAAATGTTGAATCTAAATGCTGTATGAAAAAAATTATTACTGAGTATCAACACACATTGAAAATTTCATCTATACTTCAAGTTCTTAAATAACATCATTCTTCTTTCTGCAGACTGCTGATGCGGAAAGCACTTTTTGACCACCTCACTGCTCGAGGCATTCAGGTACAGTGTGGCAAAGGGAAAGGAAATGTGCTTTTAACATAGTGAGAATTTGAGCCAGCTGCATGTGGCCTTAAGATGGGTCTGTGTTCTCCCCAACATGTTCTGTGTGTTGCTAGGTTATGCATTGCTTTTTGGTTTCTGAGCAATAGCTTATGCTCTTATATTTGCAGTTCTGTTGTTGCAAATCAAGAATTGCATGTTTGGAAAAAACCTCTTTAAATTTCTTTAAGATCCACACACAAACACTTCAGACTTTAACCTACAAAATCTGCTAAACTGCTTACCTGTTCTGGGCTTTTAACAAAATAATTGAATACAAATACCTGAAGTCTCTGAAAATAATGAAATGGAGTTGGAATCACCACTAGAAAATGCCTCCATTTGTAGGGCAAGGGAGAAGTTGGACGTGTTCATGTGTATGTCTTTGGAATCTGAGTGTAATAATTTATTGTTTTAAATCATAGAATCGTAGAATGGTTAGGGTTGGAAAGGACCTTAAGATCATCAAGTTCCAACCCCCCTGCCATGGGTAGGGACACCTCACGCTAAACCATCTCTCCCAAGGCTTCGTCCAACCTGGTCTTGAACACTGCCAGAAATGGAGCATTCACAGTCTCCCTTGGAAAACTGTTCCAGTGCCTCACCACCCTTACAGGAAAGAATTTCCTCCTTATATCCAATCTAAACTTCCCCTGTTTAAGTTTTAACCCATTACCCCTTGTCCTGTCACTACAGTCCCTACTGAAGAGTCCCTCCCCAGCATCCCTATAGGCCCCCTTCAGATACTGGAAGGCTGCTGAGGTCTCCACACAGCCTTCTCTTCTCCAGGTGGAACAGCCCCAACTTTCTCAGCCTATCTTCAGATGGGAGGTGCTCCAGAATTTTGATCATTCTCGTGGCCCTCCTCTGGACTTGTTCCAACAGTTCCATGTCCTTTTTATGTTGAGGACACCAGAACTGCACACAATACTCCAGGTGAGGTCTCACGAGAGCAGAGTAAAGGGGCAGGATCACCTCCTTTGACCTGCTGGTCACGCTCCTTTTGATGCAGCCCAGGATACGGTTGGCTTTCTGGGCTGCAAGCGCACACTGCAGCCAGCTCATGTTCATTTTCTCATCGATCAGCACCCCCAAGTCCTTCTCCGCAGGGCTGCTCTGAATCTCTTCTCTGCCCAACCTGTAGCTGTGCCTGGGGTACATATATGGGATATATATGTGGCATCATCTCTCACATGAAATAATTTAAGTCAAGAGTCACCTTTTTTATTTCTTTGAGTATTTCCTGGAATAATTTGTCTTTCTATCCCATTTTACAGGTGTATATTTGGGTACTGAATGAAGAGCAAGAATACAAGAGAGCATTTGATCTAGGAGCAACTGGAGTGATGACAGACTATCCAACAAAACTTAAGGAGTTTTTACATAATTATCCAGCATAAACAAAGAAATCCAAGGAAGTTCTTGCAGATTGTGAGCCAAGGATTTTCTCCATTAAAAAGCAAAAAAAGAGCAGCATACACATCACTTTGAAAGATGTAACTGGATGACCTGTTACCTTGTCATCAGGTTGCTACCTAATGTAAAGGCTGTCTATTTATTTTAAAACTTTAATGACATAGTTTACATTTGTAAATAGCTCATTTAGCAATAGCACACTTCACATATAGTGATGACTAGGAAGAAACTCGCTGGATTGGATACCTGTAGATAATAAATGTTATTTTACCTGTCACAAGTGGACCTAAGCAGATGTCAAGACATGTCAGTTATCCTAGTTATATTCTAGTGGGCAGAAACTAAGGAAGTTCTGAAAGTACTCTCTGTGTATGTATTTCTTGTCGTGCTTTTAGTTTTCAGATAACCTGTAGGGCAAAAAAGAAAACGCACAGGAAAAGCAGAGAGTGGAATCTGTGGCTAGCCGAACAGTGTAGCATGTGAAGTGTAGTCCATAAAGGTGGTCACTTTTTTACCAAAATGAACTCACTTGGTCAGTGTAGATTTACTCTATTATTCTTACTGCTAAGAATATTGAACTTGAGTTGCAGCTGTACATAGACCCCTTTCTGCTGTGATGGCAATGCTGTGACTCACTGGTCAAGTTCCAAGTGTGGTATTTATGCCAGGTTCTGGGTTTGACATTGACTTCTACTGCAAGAGTCTAGGTTTGCTGCTGGTTCTGACCTGCCTGACAGGCTACTGTGGCATGGCAAAACCTGGCTTTCCAGACAGGAAGATTGCACTTTCTGGAGATTACACTTATTTTGAAGTAGTCTTTTAATAGAGGAGACCAATATTCTAGGAGTCTTTTGCACATCTGTAGTTCTAACATCTGTGGTCTTGATGAAAAGTTGGTTTTAGGGTGAGGGACCAAAGAAGACTAAGTTTGGTCAGGAGTCAATCTAGAGTGTTGTCGTGGTTTAACCCATCCAGACAGCTTGTTCACCCACTCCCCCCCCTTCTTGCCCTCCCCCTACTCCTGGAGGGACGGGGAGGAGAATCAGAAAGAATGCAACTCCCACGGGTTGAGATAAGAACAGTTTAGTAACTAAGGTACAACACAAATCACTGCTGCTACCACCAGTAACTGTAATGATAAAGGAAATAACAAGGGAAGAGAATACAACACCTCAGCACCAGCCAACCGGTAACTCACCCCCCCAGCCCGACCAAGCACCCACCACCTCCTCCAACCCTGCAGTCCACTCTAGCCCCCTTCCGGGTCACTCTCCCAGTTACCTCCTGGGCATGACGTGCTGTGCTATGGAATACCTCTTTGGTCAGTTTAGGTCAGGTGTCCTGTCTCTGCTTCCTACCAGCTTCCCTTCCTCCCTGGCACAGCATGAGGCTCACAAAGTCCTTGGCCAAACCAAACCATCATTTTTATCAGCTCTGTTCCCAGCCCGAAAGTCAAAACGCAGCACTGCACCAGCTACCACGAAAGAGAAAAATGACTGCTACTGCTAAACCCAGGACAAGTGTGAAGATTTTAGTCTTTTCTCTCCACAAAAGGGCCTGTCTTTTCTAAAGAGCCTGTAACCTTCCATTCCAACACTCCAGTCATAGGAGCCATCCCACCATGTTTCTGTGATGCCTATTATATCATACCCCCGTAGACGTGCACACATCACTAATTCCTCTTGTTTGTTCCCCATGCTACAGGCATTTGTATAGAGGCATCTGAGCTGAGCTCCAAATGAAGCTGGCTCATCAGCTGGAGTGGCTGGAATATCTCTGCATCGCTCCAAGCATTTATTATAGGTGTTGGCAACTGACTGGGAGTGTTGGGATGGAATGATGCCCCCCTCCCCCAACACATCTAGTTTAAAGCCTCCTTGACCAGTCTGGCAACCCTCCTACCAAAACTGCTCTTCCCCTGCTTTGTCAGCAGCTCCACCAGCCCCCAGTAGACCTGGCCTACAAACTTGGGTCCCGTGTTCAAGACACTCAAACCTCTCACTATGAAACCACTCTTCTAACCATTTATTAACCTGGCCAGTCCTCCCAGCTTTTTTTAAGATCCTGGAGAACTGGTGAAAAGACAATCTGAGCTCCAGAGCCCCTAAACACCTTTCCCAGGGCTCTGTAGTCCTTCTTTATGTTCTCTAGTCACACACTAGTTATAGAATAGGCTCTGTATGCAGCTCAGTAGGTAAAAAAAGAAACAAAACAAAACAAACCACCAACTTCCCACCCTTTCTGTCTTAATTTGGTTTACTAGCCAGTGTGTAGCTCCAGTTAGTTCTCATGCAGTGTGGTTTTCTTCAATGTTATTGCTGTTGAATTTCCAAGACGCACACCTCTGTTTATAATTCTGGGCTTAGAGAATACTGTGAAATAGCAATTGCACATTAAGACTTTATTATCTTAGGCTAGGAAAAGCTAAATTTTAGTATACTGGTCTTGATTTCTGGACTTGATCTCTCATGGGGCAGGTCGTCATTTAGTTTCAACTTTCCCTCATCACTGCATAAATAAACTGTTTTGCTTTATCTGTATTGAATGACAAAACACACTTACTGAAATGACTAACCTGTTTCTTTAATTTTAATATTTTTCCTCTTTCTCCGTAGCACTGGTGGTGTAAACTTCTGCCTTCAGAAACACTTAATGCATTTTCTACCACTGGTCTTCCTAAATCTGATAACAGCTTTTGACTGTGCTGTTTATACATGACCTCTCTTTGATAAACCTGCTAATTAGTATTTGAAATTTGAATGAGTCGTGTTGCATGGGAGTGAAGGGGCTCAGTGCTGGAAAGCTGCTGAATTTATTCAGTCTCCCATTTGGGCCTTAGTACAAGAGCTAAGTTTAATCTCTTGAGACAGATGATGTTGCATGGATGAGGCCATGAATCCAAGCGCCAGTGCACAGGGCTTAGGCCACGATAACTGTTTGTTAACAGAATAACATGGAATTGAGGTAACTGTAGAATGCTTGTTCTGTCAAATCATTGTTTTGAATATTCCAGAACTTACTGTGTGATTTTTAAACCACTGGTACAGAAAAGCGTGCGTTGAGAACTTGCACAGCTGTCCAGGAGGATGTTCAGTTAATCTCTCTCTCCAAGGGGAGATTCTTTTCAGGTACTTTTAACTCTTAAGTATTGTTTAACACTTAACTGTGTTCTGAACCCTATTGCAAAATGTTTTGTGTATGAAGGATGATGCGTGTATTTCATGCACTTTTAATTTGCAGAAAGCCTTGTGGACCTCTCTAGCTCCAAATCTGTGAAGTGTCTTTTCTTGTAAAGAAAGATTGATGCTTTTGAAATGTGACACATTAAAACATCTTTGCTCATAAAATATCTAAAGCTGAATACTTACTGTGACATCTTTGCCTGAAAGTATAATTTCTGAGATTATGATATTTATAGTGCAGTAAACATTGAGCTTTTGATAGTGGACTTTCTATGTGGGTAGGGTTGCTGAAAAGAAGGGGATATCTGATATACTCTAAACTTCTAAGAAATTTTTGGCAATGACATTGGTGGTCTCATACAGTAATCATAGTATCTGCAACTGTGTGCAGCTAAACAAAACCTGGAGGGGACTTACGTGGAAGCATGGTTAGCAGACAAATGTCATGTTCCCTTGACTAAGGGACCAGTTCTGTAATGATGGACATAAGAAGCAATCTCAGCTGTTTGGTCTTAGCCGAACTCTGAGGCTTGTACTGGAGTTACCCAGGCTGCAAGGCCTAACCTTAGGTTATTAAGGGTCAGCTACGTGCAGTAGGACAAAGAGTCTTAGTAAGTTGTAAAGCAAAGAGACTTGGTAAGTCGCTCAAGGTTAGCAGGATGTAGGAGCAGGATAAGTGAAGTTGCAAGAAGCACAATAAAAGTAGCAAATGTAACAGAAAGCAGAATTTTCCCGCTCGCTTCTAATCTTCCAAAAATGTGTGTATGCAGCAGTTTAACACTATATATACCCTGGACCTCAGATGAATAAACGGATTGCTTTATCAATCATATTGATTGTGCTGTGTTCCCTCTGCATCGCGGCGACATAAAGTCTCCTACAGACTTAAGCCTGCCTTCTCCATGTGCAAAAGAACTTGTGAGTAAACTTTTGAAGTCAATTCCAATTTGATTTTTCTATAATTTAAGACAGAAACAGAAGTAGATAAACTTGACCAGAAGTGGTCGCCATATGCAATACTAGAAAATAGGGTAGAGAATTCTGCTGGTTCAGCAATGCAATCTGTCTGTTGCTTCGTTGCTTCCAGACAAAGGCCTGTCTGCAGAACAGGCATTGCATACTTCAAAGCAGGCAGCCTGCCTGGGCACACAAAAATTCAAATAATCAGAATTTAAGACTGGAAAAGAGTGGGAAAGTGTACAAATGGGATACTAAACTTCTGAAACTTTACTGTATGTTACTCAGTTTGAAGTAGACGGGTCTTGTGTAATAATGTTAAGGGGAGAGACAAGGATGAAGATCCCAAGCATGCCAGGAGAACTGATTTTCTGCATGTTTTTTGCTATCAGCATCTTTAGTGTAAAGAACTGGCAAATTCTGTTTGTCTTAGATTGCAGCACCTTTAATCTAAAACGGAGTGTGTAGTTCTGTATGGATGAAAACAGAAAGGTGAAATGAGTCAACAAACGTTTGTTATTTAATAATATTTTGAGAAGTGTTACATATGTTAGTGTTTTGGATAGCTGTGCTGAAAAGTGATTGTGTGACAGCACTGGCCTTTGCTTTGCACTTCAGGGTAAAAATGGCTGACTGTATCAGAGCTGCTTTCTAATTATTTGTTTTCTGCAATGGTGATGCTTAATCCTTAAGCACAATAATGCATCTTTTCTGCTTGGAGAATGTTGTCTTATTTGAAGTCTACTCTTTGGTGTTTATCCATTTGATTCTGGCAGTGTTACAAGATTCTGTGTGCGCATTTATAACATTACAAGTCAGGTTTTGAAAGCACTAACAAAATGATCTTATGTAGCCTGGTTCTACCCATCAGCTCTGACCTATAATCAGGCTCATTAGTTTAATTACAGAACGTAGCAGTTCACAGGTGTGGAGGATATTGTATCCTATCTGTGTATGTACATCATACCCGAATTGAATGGGGGAAATGAGAACATTCAGTTACCTCTGCACGTAAGATATGGTAGCAGAGGAACTGGTTTTATTCAAATCTAGATTTAATGTAAAACATATTTTACTGTGGCCTTTAAATTATCCTGAAACACTTCTGTAATGTCCTAAGGACACTCGCTCTAATTCACCATCTCCCACACACGGTTTATCTTCTACCTGCTCACTCTTGTTAGAAGATTTATGCGAAAGACTGCAGATGATCAATGAAAGATTAGCAGATTATTGCATGTAAAAAGCCTTTGACAGGTATCTGCTGCTGAATTGAGGATACAAACTTGATGGTTTTGAATATATTCATGTTAACAAGGATTGCACTTGTAGGAGGTTTCTGTACAGTGCTGTGTTATCCTGTGTTGGGTGATAGTTTGCTATAAATACAGAGCTTTCTTCTGATGATGATAAGCAGGTTAATGTTCCCTCTACTCCTAGAAGTAAATTTCCAGCTTTCCTACTGGATTTCCATCAAATTATATTAAATACTAGGTTTTAAGGTCAAGTGTAATTTTAAAGCCTTAAGGCTTCACGTTAGGTAAGAGAGGTGAAGGGGGGGGTTGTACATAACAGTATTTAGTACCTTTTAAAGGATCTTAGCAGCCTGATGAGTGGACTCTGTAGATTGCTCTGGGCAATATTTTCTTACTACACATTCTAAATGGTTAGTAAACCACACTAGGGAATTGGGAAGCATTGATGAATGTTCATGTCTTTTAACATGGAAAGTATTTGTCTGCAATGACTTCAGGTTGTGCAACCTGTCATAAATCTGCAGTGCTAAGATTTAGCAATTAGAATATTCAGAAGAACTTACCAGTTTCTCCAAAGCAAGAGGGCTTGGGGTGCAGCTATTTTCATTTCAGGACAGACATTTTTCCTTCATTGATGAGCGAGATCATCAGTGTCAGTAGAATCAGAGAATCACTGACTGGGTTGGAAGGGGCCTTAAAGCTCATCCAGTCCCAACCCCTGCCATGGACAGGGACCCCTTCCACTGGAGCACCTTGCTCCAAGCCCCTGTGTCCATCCTGGCCTTGAGCACTGCCAGGGATGGGGCAGCCACAGCTTCTCTGGGCACCCTGTGCCAGCGCCTCAGCACCCTCCCAGGGAAGAGCTTCTGCCTAAGAGCTCATCTCAGTCTCCCCTCTGGCAGGTTCAAGCCATTCCCCTTGGCCTGTCCCTCCATCCCTTGTCCCAAGCCCCTCTCCAGGTTCCCTGCAGCCCCTTTAGGCGCTGGATCTGCTCTAAGGTCTCCCCTTCAGGGGCCTTCTCTTCTCCAGGCTGACCCAGCCCAGCTCTCTCAGCCTGTCAAGAAATCTCAGAGATCCTAGTTTGTCCCTAGAATTTCCTACGATGGCTTGTTTTCCTGGCTGGCAAACACAGACCAGCAGAACCTTCGCTGGGTCCTGCCTGTTCTCCTGCCCCTTGCCGCGGGAGGCCGCCACCTCTTTGCGATTGCTGCTCAAAAGAGCTAGGGCTCTAACCGGTACGTAATCAGAGTATTCCTATGGGAAGTTAGGCGAGTGGTCATACAGGTAGTGAGGGCTTTACAGCTGCACAGTCATCTCGGTGATCCGAGGGGGCAAGATGAAGCACTGAGCAACGTTTGCTCTTTTGTTGTTGGACCAAAAATAGTGATGCTGGAAGTAGGGAAAAAAACCCTGAACTGTTAATAGATGGAAGCACCTTTCTTTGATCTGGAATTTCCCTGAACATGTACTTGAAGATGTTGTTTCCTGATGTGTCTGATAAAATTTGAAGCATCCCTGCTTTACACCTAAAGAAGAAAGGCAGTATTAAGTGAGAGATCTGGAGTTACAAGGCCAGTAACATCAGCTAGGAATAAAACTTGGGAGTGCTAGGCACCCGAGATTTTTATCATATTGTAAGTACCACTCATTTCTAATACAGCACTAAAAATGCTGAGGTAGTGTCTCCAGTGCTTCCTCCCCTCTCAGTATTGTGATGGCAAAAAATAGCCTAACTCAGTGATAAATTGGGCGTTTCTTGTCTAAATGATAATGGAAGTTGAAACTGATGTCAGACACTGAGCAGGGAAACACTAGATGTGCTGTTCAGGCTCCAAACAATGGGTGTTTGCAAACAGGGAAGTTAAAAATCCATCTTAGCTGTTCAGTTGAAAGCTGGGCTGTCAAATAGAGCAAAGCCAGAATTCAGATTCTTGTTTTTAATGAGTAAATTTCCCTAAAGCTTAGACCAATAAAAGCATAGATGCTGATCAAGCTGTGCTTGCAAAATTTGCAGCCAAACTCTTAACACAGGATCAAATGAGGCTTGAAGCTTCATTGAGAAAATACCTAGGACCTAAGTAGTTTTTTATTTCTCAAAAGTGGGTGAAATGCTTCTAATAAAGCAGTCTTACCACTAAAAAGCTTCTGGCCAAGAAGAAAGCTGAGTTTTTTTATGGTCTTATTTTTCTATGACTTCAAAGCTGTGTGAACCTCTAGATTTCCATGGTGATGCTGAACTTACATAAATGTCATCCCAATTCACCACCACCCTAAAGCAAGCCTACTACAAGAGTACTTTGCATGTATGTAACGAATCTTGCTGTTCTCCATGTAAATAATAATGTATTTTTATTAGCAAACAAAACAATCTGCATTGCAGCTTGCTTTTGGGTGAGAAAAAAACCCAAATCCCTGTTATTCAGCAGCCTCTTGTTATGTGTAGATTTATTCTGCTGGTGGTTTCACCTCTGGTACTTGTGGTAGCTTTTCACAACTCTTGCTGACTTAAAGTTCAAGCAAATTTTCTCACCCTTCCTGCACATAACTCGTTCTGGATCAGTTAAATGCCCCTTCCTTTAGCACTGGTGAGATGTCTAAAACCTGACATGTTTGCTCTTGCTGCTGGGTTTGAGGAGGAAGGAGGTTATCTAAGAAAAGAAGCTTGAAGTAAGCCTCCAGCATAGGCTCCTGGTGCTCTTGTAGCTTGTCTAAAGGTAATTCAGCAAGTTCCTTCTTCATTTGAGTGTATTTAGTAGCTAGGAAGTACCATGGTGCTTGAATCTCTGTTAACAGCTTATTTCAGTTGTATTTGGGAGTACCACTAGCTTCTGGGGGGAAAAGTAATGTTGTATTTTAAAATCTGGTCTAACCTAATCTAAAATCCCTTGGCTTAGCTGGCATCTCTTACTCGTGCAGTCAGAGGGATGCACTTTGGTGTGTGAAATAAAACAAGTTTATGTCACAAGGTAGTGGGTCCTTTTCCTACCCACATGTATTAAAAAATAAAAAGACCCACAACTAACAGAAATATTGCATTGCCCTTTACTGTGCTTGGGAGTCCAAATGTGAAACCTATGGAACAGAGTGGTGCCCTTGTAGTTATCAATAATGACCAATTCTTAGGGGATTGCTTAAAATACTCTTAATTATTTGCTAAAGCAGTGGAGTGTTTGAACCAGAAGGAACTATTTCACCCAATAACGTATGTAACTTTCATCCCTTGAGGTAAGAAAAGGATGGAGAGAGAACATTCACTGCTGTGTAAGGTACGGTTTTAATAATCACTGTTACACATGTGCTGGCATGAGCTGAAATGGGAGCATGCAGTGAAAAGCTTCCAAACCAGCTCTTTTGGAGCTGTTTTGTCTCTTAGTTTGAGGTGACTGCATTTAATTTTGCCCTTGCGTTTTTCCCTGGCTTAGCTGTGAGCACGCTGCTGTGTGCGTATGTATGTGCATGTACATACGTGTACATACGTGTTCACATTGAACCTGCAGGTACTTGGGTGTAAGGCTGCCAGGATCACCCCTGCAAGAAGCCCGTAGTCAGCAGTGGGATGCAGCTGATGGAGATTTCCGGGAGAAATATGCAATATCTTCATTTGTGGTTAAGCCTCACGCTAATTACGTGGTCAAGAAGGTGAATTTAATGCGGGGGGGGGACGGACAGGGACGACATTCTTCGGTGCGTGGTGCGTTCAAGCAGCAGTGGGGGCTCCCGGAGTCTCTCTCTCGGTCCGGCAGCGTTAATTACTTTGTGTTTAGTTCACATGCGCTAATTGCCTCTGCCATTTAACGACAGAAACAGCGCGGCCCGGGGGGGGCGGGTCCCGCAGCCCCCGGCCCCGGTTATCCCGCGCTCCCCTGCGTGGTGGGTGCGGATGGCGCTGGGCACCTGCAATTAAAGACCGGGTGGAAATCAACAGCGGGACGGTTTATGGGGTTTGTCACCCTGGCCGGGCACTGAGCGCGAGTCTGCCCGGAGGGCTCCGGGAGCGCTGCCTGCGCCTTTAAGAGGGAACGCGTCTGTTTGTTGTTCCCCCCCCCGGCGCTGCACGCCGGCCGCTCCCATTGGCTGCGCTGCCCCAGCTGCTGTCAGCGGGGGGCGATGCCCGTGTCGGTGTGTGCGGGCGGGGCGAGAGCGCCCCTGCCGGCCTCGCGCGATCTGATTGGTGGCGAAAAAATGGGCTGCGTCCGGCGGCGTCCAATTGGAGAGGTGTTGCTATGTGCCAGCGGGAAGCGATTGGCTAGCGGCGCTGCCGCTCAGGGCCAGCAGGCTCGCGGAGGAGCCTATAAGGGGCGGGAGCCGGCGGGAGGGGGAGGGCGCTGAGGGGCTGCCTGGTGCGCGTCGGCCGCCGCGCTCCGTCTGCGCTGGGGACGCGCTTGAGGCGGCCGCGGCGAGTAAGTGCGGCGGGGGGCCAGCGCCGGGAGCGGGCGCGGCGGGGCGGCCGGAGGGGAGGAGAGGGGGGGACGTGGCTGGGGCTGGGCCGCGCTGCCGCCTGAGCTGCGCCACAGCAACGTCCGGGTCCGTCCCCCGGTTCCCCCCCCTTTCTGCTCGCGGAGGGGCAGCGCGGGTCGGGGGCGCGCGTCCTCAGAGGAGCGTCCTCGGCGGCTTCTCCTGAGGGGAGCCCCGCCGGTTCGGGGCACAGGGCCGGGGCCTTGCGGCGCCCCCGGAGCTGGCAGCTGGCGAGGCGGGCTCTGCGAGCGGCGGCCTTTGTCTGCGGGGCCGGGCGAGGGGCGGGAGGCGGGGAGGGCAACAGGTCCGAGCCCGGGAGAGTGCCCAAGGGGCAGCGCGCGGGCGAGGCCAGAGGGGTTCGGCTCGTCCCGGACGCTTGCAGCGAGGAAAGGCATTAACAGGAGGGAGCTGCGGGAGTGGGGCTGGCGGTGGCCGGCGTGCCAGGTAACCGTCGGAGGAGATGCAGCAGCAGGGGTGGTCCTTCCTGATGAACCCTTTCCCTGTAGCGAGTAAACGCATAATAAAAGGCTGAAACCTCAGGTGAGATCTGTGCCTGCCACAAAGGTGTGCGTGAGGCTTAGGCTTGTGACTCCAGGGAGAGACACAGCATCTTACCTGGGCTCTGGGGGCACCTCCCGAGCTGCTTCCAGCACGGCCCAGAGGGCTGCTACCAGGGACAAGCGCTGCCATGCTCCGTTTATTTTTGCTAACACTGCTGCTGGAGTCCCTGGAGACCGGGCCTTTCCCAGCGGCAGGCTGAGCTACCCGGGTGACATCATACCTGGTGTGACAAAGGAGGGATCACAGGGCACCTGGGTCAGCTGTGGAGAGGGCATCCTCAGCCCTACGCAGTGCTTGACATTAAAGGTAGGCACTTTCTGCATGTGGTGCATTGAAACCGGCCACCGTCAGGGAGCAGGGGTAATCCTGCTCTAGCCTCTGGTTAAGGGTGCAGCAGCTTTCTCTTTGTGGAGTGCTGTGCTGAGGTCCAGGGCCTCAAGGTGAAATGTCAAGGGTCCTTTGTCTTGTGCTTCTCCATAGAAATTTCTGGGGTTTACGCAGAGAAGCTAGAGGTGACAGAGGCAGCCATGGAATGAGCTATGGGTCCGTAGCTTCAAATTTTAATGCTGATTTTTGAAGGCAAAAGAATTCGAAATGTTCCAGTTTAAAATGTGATTTTAATGGTGTAGAAAAAGAAGTTTAATCCTGCCTGCTTTGCCCCCACTTTTTTTGGCCACCTGTCTTAAAATACAGGAAGAGGAAGGCCCATCCGGCTGGTGTTTTTAGCTTGCAGACAGCAGTTAAGCAAGGGGCAGGACAGTACACCTGCCTTCCTGATACAGCCTTCCTCAGGGCTGCTACATGCTCCGAACAAACATTTTCTGCTGATGCATTGACAGTTACTTAAAGCTTCTGCTGGGTAGCGCAGAGCGGCCTTTGCTGGGTTAGGTGGTTGTAAACAAGCAGATGCTGAAAGAGCTCCACTTCAGTCCATGAGAGGATTCTGCCTGGAGAGGATGTATTTTGTGACTTCATTCTTGCAGAGCACTCCCACTGATCTTAAGATCTCATCGCGTTGGGATCCACGCCTCTGGTTTCTTGTAAACATTGTGTGCTGTCTAACGGCAGCGCTTCAATAGGGAATTAGAATGGTCTCCTTTTCCCACTGCATTTCTAATTTTTCTTTCCTGCTGAAATACCATTTTAACATGAGCCTTAAGCTGTGAAGCTGAAGCTGGAAATGCTGTAGGGAGGGCAGAGACATTGCTTTCATTTGACAAAAGATGTTGGCTGCTTGGGTTTTTTTCCTTTTGGGTTTTGTTTTTTCAAACTTCCTTTGCAGGTGTGTCTTTCATGGAATAACTGGCAAAGCTGTGCTGGTCATTGAGCTCCCCTGTGTCCTCTGGATCCACAGATTTGAATAAGTGATTTCCTTTCTTTGCTGTTTGGTGTGGGTAGTTGAGCCAGGGTTGTACTGAAGAAGACAGTGTCGCTACCTGTAAATCCACATTCCCTCAAAGGCTCCTTGACTCACGGATTGAATACCTGTTGCTGAGAGAGAATTTAATTAAGGAACTGGTCACTCTGGTGTAGGTCCTGGCTGGCAGTTTATAAAGCGGGAGCTCCTTGATCTAGCGTGGTACTACACGAGCATTGCAAGGATTGCAGAGGAGTAAAAAACCCATTATTTCTTGTTCTTGCATCACAGCCTTGCCTTTGACCATGTGCTTGGAAGCCTCTTAAAGAAATACCAGTAAAGTATTTCTTTCACTGGGCTTTGGTCATTAACTGCCAGACCTTTTCTTGCTTAAACTTAAGCTGTGAAATGCTAGAGCAGTGGGCTGCAAGAGGGATCACGAAGTGGAGTGGAATGGAGAAAGGGAAACATCAGTTCTCTTAGCTGCTTTGAAGCTGATCAGCAATATTGGAGGCAGAATGATGTAGCACTGTGTATTTATTGCTTTAAACCATAAATACAAAGTTTCTTTTTCTCATCTCCTTGACAGAGACCTGTATGGCCTGAGGACAGAGGTCCTTCAGGATGTTCCCTCTTTTTCTCTGTTTGTTAGTTCAGAGGTCTTGTCTTCTAGATCTAATCACAGTAACTAAGACAGATTTCCTCTTCCTTCCAGAAGCCAAGGTGACGCCATAGAAGAGATGAACTATTCTGACTCAAGGGTTTTGTTGGTTTTTTTTTCCGTTCTTTAGAACAGATCTTTAGCTGGTAAATCAGCATGTCTGTTGGTGCTGTGATGCTGACCAAAGATCTGGATCTCTTCTTCCCAAAACAAAGTCACTTTATAGTTTGTCTTACCTGGGAAGAAGTGCTCCAGGTGGGCTGCTGCTCAGGAGTGCTGAGTCCTGGGCCTTAATCACACTCCCTGTTGCCCTCATCAGTCCCTGCTCTTCATCCTCATCAAAGTTTGTCATTCACTTCTCTCTCCGAGTCTGCTTTTTGCTGTGTCTTTTTTGCCTTTTTGTTCCTTGTTTGTCAGGGCAGGTAGTTGCTGCGCATAAGCCGATTGTTCTGTTCTGGCTTTGTGACCCTGTGCTCGATAACCATGTCTGCCAGGACTGTCTGAGGGTGTTTTCACCAGCTGATCCAGGATGTGTTGGATGTCGGGAGTAGCTTTGTCTCCAGAAGCGTCACTGGACTGGCCAAGCCACTTAAGGCTGCAGGAAGTAACATAATTAATGAGACTTAGTTCGCCCACATCTTGTACCTGACAATCTCAAGTCACTTGACAATGCTAATTAAAGCTAATCACACTCCTCTGTTTTTAGTAAATAGCTATTATCCCTGCTTCACTCTTGCTTTAATGAATGATAGTGCCAGGCAGTGTGAGTCATTGGAAGTTAGGGGCATGCAACCCGTAAGAGCTGCCTTCCGGCCTCTGCGCAGGCTTACACATCCAACCGGAGATGGGTTCTTCTACACCTGTTCAGGTGTTGGTTAAGCCTGTTAAAAGGTGTAATGTTTTGCTGACTTAGAAAAATATGCAGCTTTTTGGCTCTTTTTACTGCTGCTGTGACTTGTATAGAACTAACCAAGGTTGAGCAAAGTTTCAAAAGCTGAGGATGCTTTGAATTTGCCCTTCAGAGAACTTCAGATCTGCTGAGACGGAAGGCAGAGTGGTGTCAAAGCTGCACTCTCACTTCTCCTGTTTCACATTGGCAGTGACTTCATTCCGAGGACAGAAATGTGGCGTGGTATGACCTAGGCATTACATAGCTCAGCCACAGAACTGTGGAGGATTGAAGTTTCACTGATGAAATATTGCTAAAGGATGGCTGGAGTAGTGTGTTATTAAAAACATATTGTCCAGCATCACAAAAAAAAAGATGGAGTTAATAATTAACTGGAGGGGGGGATCTTAATGAGAATCCCAGGAACTCCCAGCTCAAGCATGCGTCAGTAGGCATGGAACAGCAAGAGGCGAGTCAGCTCACATACCTTGGCAGTAGCACGGTAGTGAGGATATGCAAGAGGAACTAATAACTGGCAAGGCAACAGCTGACTTGACCATCTTAAACTAGATTCGGTTATAAAGTATCTGTCATGTGAAGATTCAAGTTATAAATTTTCACCTGACTTTGCCCCCTTGACATATGGGTTGCTAAGTGAAAGCTAGAAGGATGATGACTGAACTGCCATGGAAAGTATGTACCTCGTTAATACAGTAACTGTTGCATGAAAAGTGTTAGTAGCAGAGATCCGTCAGAATCCAGCATCTTAAGCCTTGGCTTTACTTGGAAAAGAGACACATATCAGAAGAGAAAGTAAAGCCACTGTCTCTCCCTTGTCAGATGTGCTCTGGGCAGTGCAAGGCTAGTTAAGAGATGTTCCTGGGAAGAACTCTCTGAGCAGATGGTTTTTGTGAGCAGATAAAAACGTGCAGCATTTGCAAGCTCGCAAATAGTAAGTTATGGCAGGCAGCTATGGCAGATCTTCTTTCAGCTACAGATGACTTTGAGGATATTGGATGCTTGCAGTAGATAAATGTTCTCTCTGTGTTCCCTGTCAGTACCCGGCCTTTATCAGGGAAACAGATGATCCATCCAGCAGACCAGATTAATTGAATCCTAGTCATGCCTACACTTGCCAAAAAGGAAGATAACAGAGCACTATAAGGAGCACCAAAAAAATGTAATAAGAGATGATTTGGATAGCTAGACTGTTCCACAATTAAAACAAATGAGGGAAAAAAGTTGGGAAGTGTTTCCATTTTGTCAGTAATTGGTCAGTTGGATGGGAAGAGCTTTTCCATGATGTCTGTAGTTCAGGTTGGTACTACAATAGCAAGGCAGGGTGGTCTTTCACTTTGCAGAATGCTTTATATATGTCTTGCTGGCAAAGTGTGATGTCCTTGATCTATGGCTCCTAATGTGATCATCCCATTGAATGTGTAGCTGTCCTCAGCAGGAGGATGGGTATAAATTGAAA